GAGAATTGCAATTTTCACGCTCATTTCACCAAGAACATATTGTATATTGTAATATAGGCAACCAACTGTGTAATAACAGCTCGTAAATCATTCATTATTAAAATATCGATAACAGTAACCTACGACACCTATAAATTATGCCATTTTAAAACAAAGTGTAAAATAAACTTACACTTTCATGTTATTCCTGGAATTATTCTTAGTGTTTTTATTGTGCATACATATGCGCAATGCGCTTCTGATTTTTTTACGACTCGTGGGTGTGTTGTGACAAAGAGCCGAAACGAAGCAGCATCCGCCTCATTAAAACCACATTAGCGTGGAATTTACTTGACTACAATATTTATAACGTCCATTCATTTGTTTGAATGTGCGTACGAAATTACGAATGCAACGTGTCGCGGGTGGAACCGTGCCTAAAAACCTCACGTCAGTGGCGAGCTTTCGAGGCGAATGTTTCATTCAAATCAAGTTCAATGTACAAGTACGCCGTAAATACAAACCTCAATGATTTACATAATGCACGACACGCCAGACTTTATTACTTGCTTTTAAATAAAGAATGAAATATTTTCCTTCACATTGAAATAAATAATTTTTCTTTGTGCGAGTTTTTAAATTTGCTACATGTCAGAATAAACGTAAATCGAGCGTAACTTTGCGCGTTCATTGTTTTAAATTACCCGCAGTGCAATTTCCTTCCTTTTGTATACGATTATTGGCAAATTTAATCGACGCATCGACATTACTCGAACAACTGGAACGGATTGTTTCACTTCAACGAGTCCACCGATACTATTACTCAACAGTGACACCGTGATTTCAATTATCACGAAGCTTGCGAATGCGGTAATTAAAAATCATTACATGAAAAATCGCTGAGATGTTTCCTTTAAAAAGAAGTCCAGTAATGAGCGGAAAGTAAAATCAATGCAGTGTAATGACAAGCATAAAATTGCGGAAAACAAAAAGACATCAACGCGCTTACGCGCTACACGAATTCCAAATTGGTGATTTCCAAGAAAACGAAGAAAAAACGTCGTGAAGGAAACGCGTATCCTGTTGAAATAACTCAGTAATTGTGGTCACAGCCAAAGAATACAATCACAATATTATGCCTCTACCACAACTTTAATCAAATAGTTTTTTTGATTGATACAACAAACAAATTAGTTTGGATTTTTAATATGTTTTATTCTCAATCTTATTAACTAGGATTGTCAGACTTGTAAGATATGTTATGTTCCAATCAAAACGAGATGTTTTTATTCTGGGTGCGCCATTTAATCATTAATCGATCGACAAAACAAACCTAATAAATGTTAAATGAGATCCGCGAATCACAATAGCGTTCCGTGTAATATTTTGATCTAATAATGCTTCGTAATGATATTCTTAATAATAGACATTTTAAATAATAACAATAATCACAATCGTCATTGTCGACCGCTTGTAACAACATAATAAACATTGTTGCAACGTAAGGCGTAATGATGACAAATTGATTTTGTCAAGAAATCATTACTACTTCCATAAACTTGCAGCGCACGCGACGTAAACAATACACATCGAAAGATTTATGTAATCGATGTAAATTTAATTGAATCCAGTCAATTATAATAAGCAAAATGACAGCGAACAATTGAATTGGTTATTTTGGTTATTTCCGGTTAGGCAACCCAATTAACTATAACCTTTAAATGTCCGCACACATGTCGATTTTGAGATTGATTCGAGAAAAATAAGAGAAAATGTGAAACTGTATTGATTGCGATGCGAATTTCTATTTTCAATTTTACGTGTTTCGCCTTTAATGTCCAAACGCCGGTGTAATTCCACTTGTGCGGAGGCGTATGAAATATTTCTGATTTCTCGTCGCGGTCGTTACAGCGATAAACTGAAATGCATTCAGACCGGGAATAAACGGACACCTGGAAGCGATTCGCTAACGATCGGAGCTTGAAAAAGAATCGCCCAACATCGAGAAATTAGTTTGTTGCATTTGTACCAGGAAGAGAAGACGAGCAAGAGAATGAACTTTCACGCCCGAGCCGTACCTACACCCATTCCTACGCCTTCATCCACAAGCGTTGCTAATTTCGTACAATTCTACCAACGAATCCAACTTAATTACAATTACGTGCGCTGTGTGCGGCTGGGCACGATTGAAATCATGAAATCACAGAAAGCTACAAAATAATAAGCCACACCACAATTGTACTCATCGTAATTCTAACGTCAATCGAAATCGTACTTCGAAACATCTAACATTAAACGCAATCGATTTTTTGAGGTTGGAGCTGTTCAGATTTGAGGTTAGGCTTGGTCAGGGCGCGCACCAGCTCGAAGCTAACAATTTACAATTATTGCTAGCCATGTTTCTACAGTTACAATCCAGGTACAATCATAAAACTAAAAATATCATCAAAGATGATCTAACTCCGATCCACCAGCAAATATTTACAACAACGCATCATTATTAGGGTTTGGTAGAATGTAGCTGATCTTCAATCCTTCCTGCCTTTATTGCATAGCATACAAGATTATTATAGGAATTATTTTCACGAACAAGGTGCGGTTTGATTGCTCTTATTGCTCCTAAATCTAAATCTAAGACAACACAGAATTGGAGATAATGATAAAACGTTTGTTACGTTCGAAAGCGGACGATAGAAATCAAAGTTGATGGAACAAACGAAAATGAAAGAGAACTAATTGTGAATTATTATTTCGAAACTTTGTAAGGCATAAATTATTAAGATTGCTTGCTGCGTTTCAATAACGATCAAAAGATGTGTTGAAAAAGATTTGGCAATAATGAATAAATCACAATGCATTCTATACATAACCTAATCTATGCATAATGACATGAACTAATGAACTTGTAGATACAACATAAACTTATCGCCTACTGTTAACTACTGGTAGTGACGACTTTAAAAATAAAGTAAGAAGCACTCACAGCGCAGAGTGCTTCTTAAAAGAAAAGCAATGTTACTTGTTTTTACATGGAAACTTTGTAATTAACTGACATAGCTAACGCGCCGAAAAGAAATTACCTCGAATGCACACGATGCGCGCAGCGAGCACACGGAATGTTGCATCATTCTTCGAAATAGCAGAGAATAGAAGAGAATGTACATCTAACTTTTCCGACGACCGGCAATGCCGCTGTACTGTTATTACGGATTTCTGGATTCTTGATGCCGACAATTGCCACTGACGAAAGAATATGTGTAACTTGTCACAATGTCATGGAATTTATTTAAACTACATACAGTAGAGAAATACATAACCGAAAATTGTCAGTGCTTTTTGCCGACTCGTAGTAAAAGTGACTGATATTTGACTGTTTATCTGTGGTAATTGCTGCAATTGAATTTTTTTTCCCTGTCTTCGGTCAATATTTAACTTAGAATACGAACTTGACCTTCAGTTTGTACTGAATTCATCAACTAAATTATTTACTTTCTATTTTTGTGATCTGTTTGTCAGGCAACATCGATTCATCGACGTCGTGTTCAACAAACACAAACAGATACATCAAAATGAAATAAGTTTTGATGGAAATTGATTGATTGATTTTTTTATTGACTAATTGCCGCAGGTATACTGTATTTTCGTATGAGATCTACAAAAAGGGGAGGGGGTACGGTGTGCTGGCAAAGAGCGCTCTCCTACTATTTCGAACCAAATCATAAAACTGATTTTCCAATGTACGAGTATACTGTTTGATTGCCAAAGATATGCAACAATTTAGAATTCAAGACCTCGAAGAACTACATATGTAAATTAAGTCCAATGAATTCGACATCTGCTTTGAGCAGTATTGAATCTTGATTGAAAAGAAAATTTACTTTGAATGAATATTTAAATACCAGTTATCTACGCATACCTAGCAGACATTGTTGGAGTACTAGACATGCGAGGTAACAAGGTAACAAGGCACAATTTAAACTGAAATACGTCTGTAGTATGTCTAGATCAGTGTTAAGGTGAGGAGTTGCGCCAACGTGAATTCATGAATAAATAACTAATTCCATTCGAAGCCAGAAACATAACACGACTACCAGCTTTTTGCTTCTTCGATAATATCAGAAACAATATTACGGACATGCCTGTAAGATGGCACCACTAAAAATATGATTGCACAGTTGCCATATAAGAACAAAATATGATATGATTTTCTTATATCTGCAACGTTAATAACTGGTCGTAAAGCGTAGACGCGAACGTTAATTAACAAAAACAAAAACTCAATGGATAAATGCAAGATTGTAGTAGTACAGTGTATAATACAGCTACACGGAAATTAATTTACCATCTGCATTCATTACGCGCAGCAGAGTCTTGGAAGCTTGTTGATTAAAAGTTGGCGCTTCACTTGTTTTCTATCGTCGTTACGCCGGTCTAATTTCTCATAGCAAAGCGCGACTGCGTCCAGCACTCGGTAATTTTCGAGATCTTCGTCTTAGTTTTTTTTTCTCTCCTGTTGGAGTCAGCCTGTTGGTGGGTAATCAAGCTCGTATGATATGCCATAAAAAGCGCAAGCACTTTGAGTAAACGCGAGCAGCGGGGCTACACGTATCAGTGAATACGTGTCGTACGTGCTTCACGTGCGCGATATTTCTTCTCAATATGAATCAATGTACGTATGCTATGTACGTAGTAACTAAGCACAGGTCTGATGCTGACGAATGCGGAACGGTGGTTAGTTGAAGACCGGTCAAAACGGATTGCATCATAATTATAACTACAACGTACAGAGTACAAGATGCATTAAGTAATGTTTCTTCGTGCTCAAGTAGAATAATTACGATTTACAATTACGAGCGCACTAATTACAACATAGAGCAGACGGTAGTTAACGTGTTGCATACATTTTTGGTTAAAATGCAAGGTGTTAAAGTTAGTTAGGATCGTTGAATTTATAATGTCACAGTTGACTGTTTCAAACCGTTAAATATAGTAAATTAAAGATTATTTTCTTTTTTTTGTAGGGTTCGCAACCCACCGACCGAAATCCACAGCGTCTTGGCTACACCACCCTCAAGTGGAAAACAAACCAATGGACGCACCGTTGTAGATGGAGCCAGTACTCCAAGACGTCGTGGTTCTGACTCCTTCAATCGTTTATTTGGCGAATCTGGAATTCAAGTCGCTACACCAAGGCGTGCATCTCTTACTAAGCACGGTAATAATATCTCCACGTTTTAACAACCAGTGAAATCTCTAAAAGTATGTATTTATTTTTGTTTAGATGTAAAAAATCGTAATCCAGTCACTGGCAATGGCGTCCAAACATGGGAGAACAAAGCTAATCGCTCACCGAAAGTTCACTCAGGTAGAATTGATTATAAAACATTTGTGCATTTTGAAAATAAATATTTTTCTGTTTTTAGAGAGAAACCCAGTCACTGGTGAAGTGTATCAAATCATTAGCCCGGCGACAACGCCCACTAAGCCGATGACCAATGACTTCCCGAAGATGAATGGAAACGCTGAGCTTCCTGCTGGACCGGTGACAAACGGCCAGGCCTAAAATACAAGCCACAGCACTCCAGCGAGACGCGTATTCTTTGCGTATTACTAAATAAGATGATGCACCAACCCCTTAACACACGCCCAGCCCTATCTATCCATCCTCCCAACAAAAATATTGTATGCCTTATTGAAAGTATTTAATACGAGCAGCGAACTAGTTAATGCTAGTTGATACGAAATATTTACAATGCCTTATTACTACATTATTACGACTACTAATAATTAATTATTATAATTACGAGATGAGAAAACTTGTAGTGCATATGGATGATAGAACATGAACAATTATTTATAAAGAAACGTAGCGAATAATCCGAAAACGATAAATGTTTACAAATAAGATGATAGAAACAAAAACATGAAAAAATAACAAAATATGAAGCAATGTTACATGTAGTTTATATAGTGAGTTATATAATCTTATGAGTACTTTTTTGTATTAATAAATTTTTATATATCATAATAATTTTGTTTCTGCGATCACTTGAAATTTATCTTTGACTGCATGAATGTGTCTATTTTTTTGTTTAGTTACGTTTTCTGCAATCTGCTGCAAGAAAATGGTTAAGTCTTAAATTTTTATTTGTATACTGCCCGTGGCAAACTATTGTGTACCTTAAACAAATGCTTGTTGGTAAATATCAAAGAATCTATCAATAATTTTATAAATCAAGCCAAGATGGTGTTAGAATGCACATATTTGCATTAAATTTTAAGCGGAGTTATCCATGTCAGTTGTTGGTAGATAGTACCTAGTGAGTGTATATAGTCTTAGCAGGATACATGCATGCCGTGCGAGGTCGCGCGAATTGGTGCAGCAGGTATTATTTTTATCTATTATCTGTTTGTTGGTTTACGTCCTTGAGCCGGTGTGCTATCGGAATTCACACGCTACATGAAACTTAAGTGCCTTACATTCGCGCAGTTGCAAATGACTTGTCGACGGTGAAACATGTCGGTCGCTTACTCTGTGTAGTTTTTTCGCGAGTTGCCATGTTCCGATAACAATTAATCGGGCAAATCGAGTTATATTTGATTTCGAATCAACGCCATGTAATAATAACAAATGTGTAATATTAGTAAACGGGAAGTTATTCTCTGTCGGCTCTTGGATGTCGTGGATTACAAAGCCTGGGTTGTGCGAACATGTTACCTTGTAAGTAAAACATATCATTCAATATAGATAAACCATGTTTTAATACTAGTTTTTACCTGACGGTACTTGATATGCAGTATCGAAGTGTCGTGCAAAATGTTTTACATAGTGTTATTTTGTTACAGTTCTTGCCGTAGATGTATGGAAGACGACTGGTAAGTAAATAATTAGAATAATCTCCGACAGGCTAGCGCAGATATAAATCGGATGTCTTGTTAGTGTTATTCGGGGTATTTTATCTCAGAATTAGAAATTAACAATATACTAATTATAGCTTTTCGTATACTGCGTTCTACTATTTAGATTACGAAAGAGTAGCCAAGAGGTGGGGGGTGGTGTGCTTGATAATTTTTATCGGCGATTTAGATCATTAATATCTCTTAAACTAAAAGAGATAGCAACCAACATTTTGCTGATTATGAAAGACTGGATAATTCTTTATCAGATAAAAATATAAAATAATTATATTTCAAACAGTAAAAGGTCAAAAAACGCCACTGAAAGTGCTAAAAAGTGACATTTTTCAATATTTGCCCTTTTTATTCAATCGCGAATATCTCGTAAACGAAAAGAGATAATTAAGATCCGATCGCAGCATCTTAATCTACGGACTATTTTCTATAAGATAGGATAGTTAAAACGGAAATCTGAGAGATGAAATTTTTATTCTTAAGAAAAAATTGTCAAGGGGGGGTGCTTGATAATTTTTATCGACGATTTTCGATAATTAATATCTCTTAAACTAAAAGAGATAGCAACCAACATTTTGCTGATTATAAAAGACTGGAAATTTCCCTATCAGAGAAAAATAGAAAATAATTATATTTCCAATAGTAAAAGGTGAAAAAGACGCCACTAAAAGTACTAAAAAGTGATATTGGTAATTGGTTTATCGAACGTCAGACTTACTGAACTCAAATTTGGTCTAGAACTTGTTAGTCCTCAATTAGGAAATACAAGAGCTACCATGTAAGTAAAAGTAATCGGAAATTTGTCACCCCCAAATACGGGTTGTGACACAAAAAAACATGATAATCATAGTAAACTTTCACGATTTTCATGAATTTTTGAAACACTCGATGGAAATTTGGCTGTATCTCGGGATCCGTTGGAGCAATAGTTTTTATCCTCTTTGTAAAGTTGCGTCGAAATTTATAACTGATGTGAAACATTATATTATATTTTATTTTCGGGCACATCAGAAATGTTTTGATTTCAATTCTACGCACTTATCGGGGTTTGTGTATAAACAACTTTTTTATCGCGATAAAGGCGCGCAATGTTGCATTCACGCTACGAACGTTCGACCATTTCAGTTTGTTCTTACCTACACGCCGGTCGGCATCTTCCTTTTATACATTTCGATTACATAAACTACAAAACATTAACTACTGTTATTATTTATTAATTAAAAATCGGCATAAATATCAGCACTTAATAACAATAGACGTGTATAGTGTTTTGCGAAAGATGAGTTCCGGGTAAAATGATAATACAACTTGTACTTCATCTATGTGGTCCGTCGGCTATTGGATTACTTTGATGCTGAGAATTTAAAATAGGAATATGTATCCTATGAATAGTTTTGAGTTAGTGTAATTAACGTCTGTCTTTGACAGGATATCGCGGGAATAATGTCGGTTAAAATAGTGCATATTCATTATGCGACGGAACGGATTTAAAGAAGTGAGCATCATAGTGCGAATTCTCACACACGTGCTTTTGTTTGTTTCAGTACTTTCTTATCCGACACACTGGTAAGTTTATAAACTTTATTAAATCATAATTAATTACATTTTTTGTCTTAAATCACATGTAACGTGAGTACCGTAATAACTCAAAATTGACGCGTGCCGTCGAATGCGTCTTCGGTTTCGCTGCAGACTTTGCTTTTTCCATGTCAATCATCGATTTAATAGCGTGCATTTTTCTTAGCTTGCATTTTCTTTTGATGTCATAATGCTTCATTCGCGGAGACGTGTTTTAATAGACAATTTAAATTTCTTCCCGTGTGTGTACATGACTTGCCGTCGGCCGACACATTTGGTCTGGCTTGTGGCGTATCTGAAGAACCCGTCGTAAAGAAAATTTTAGGATCGCAATAAAATTCATATTGATGTTTTATTTATCTATCACTCTGGCTTTCCTACCTTTTCTTTTTTTAATTTTACATTTTTTTAATTTACATTTTATTGTGTGCGCTGTAATGCTCGTTGCGCTAGGAATTGTAGTTTTTTTGGAATAACACGCGAACGTGGTATCACAATAAGTTCGGAATAATTTTCCCAGATGCAGAATTTAATTCTGTTTCTCTCTGTTCTGTAATTTAATGCAAGAAAATTCCGTAACGCAAGTTATGTTGAAAGTTGTATGTGTGCGCCGTAATACTCGTTGCGCTAGGAATCAGGGCACCGTATGAGGGTAGCGGTAGAAGTGACTCGTGTTCAGAGCACCGTATTCCGTAATGCGAATTATATTGAAAGATGAGTGTGTGCGCGGTAGTACTCGATGCGCTAGAAATTGTAGTTTTTTTAGTATAACACACGAACGCGATGTCACAATAAGTTCGGAATAATTTTCCCAGATGCAGACTTTAATTCTGTATTTCCTTATATTAAAATTTATTGCGGCAAAATTCCGAAACGCGAGCTATATTGAAAGTTGTGTGTGTGCGCCGTAGTACTCGTTGCGCTAGGAATTATAGTTTTTTTAGAATAACACGCGAACGCGGTATCACAATAAGTTCAGAATAATTTTCCCAGATGCAGAATTCAATTCTGTATTTTCCTGTATTAAAATTTATTGCGAGAAAATTCCGTAACGCGAGTTATAATGATAGTTGTGTGTATACGCATTTGTACTTGTCGCGCTAGGAATTGTAGTTTTCTTGCTATAACCTGCGAACGCGGTCTCAAAATTAGTGCGGAATAATTTTTCAAGATGCAGAATTTAATTCTTTATTTCCCTGTATCAAAATTTATTGCGAGAAAATTCCGTAACGCGAGTTATAATGATAGTTGTGTGTATACGCATTTGTACTTGTTGCGCTAGGAATTGTAGTTTTCTGGTTATAACTCGCGAACGCGGTCTCAAACTTAGTTTAGAATAATTTTCGCAGATGCGGAATTTAATTCTTTATTTCCCTGTATCCAAATTTATTGCGAGGAAATTCCGTAACGCGAGTTATAATGATAGTTGTGTGTATACGCACTTGTACTGGTACTCGTTGCGCTAGGAATTGTAGTTTTCTTGTTATAACTCGCGAACACGGTCTCAAACTTAGTTCGGAATAATTTTCCCAGTTGCAGAATTTAATTCTTTATTTCCCTGTATCGAAATTTATTGCGAGAATATTCCGTAACGCGAGTTATAATGATAGTTGTGTGTATACGCACTTGTGTACTCGTACTCGTACACTTATAGGTTATTTCAACATTGTGAAATTTTAGTTTGGTCTTCTCAACTACGGGTTTACCACTACGTTTGTTATAAACAACTTTTTTGTTCGACTGACGCGTATTATCGCGACATACCTGCCTTGTACCAACGCGCAGCGCACACGGCAGTCGTTACACCGCGTAGTTCGCAGTCGTTATACCGCGTGGTCCGCAGTCGTGTCCCTCTAATCGCCACGCGTTTTGAGGTTTTAATTGGATTAATCGACGTGTATTCTTTCGGCCATCATCAAAATATTCGGGACGGGCATGTGCGGCTGTTTTGTTTAATGATTTGTCGTGGTTAGAATCTTCTTAACTAAGAAATAAGTGTTTGTCAATCCCTACGCGAGTTTTTAGTTGGTAGAATATATTACAGGATATAGAATTTCCTCATCAATGCAAAGGTACGTGTGTAATAAATATTTTTCATGGAAACTTAAGGCGGTGTAACTTAATTTGATTATTCCATTTGAGGAATTACAAACACGTACAAACACGTGGTTCCATTCCTATCAGAATTATTAGTCCCGTTTCCGAAAATAACATGCATGATTTAATTAATACCATGACGGTTTTAAAAATAATCTGTAGATTATTAAAATGACAATATTCATGTGGTCGATCGCGCTCAGTTTGCCGTCGGCCGTCGGCTCGGTCATCCTTTCGCTAAACACGTGAACGTTTTTAATCGAATTGCACTTGTTAGCATCATTAAATTAAGAAGTCTCTTGTTGACGTAATAAAATCTTGTACGGTGAATAGTTCTTCGTTTTTGTAGTCTCCGTATATCTTAATATTTACAAAGAATTACCTAGTTATTTTTATCGTATTTAAAGACAGTAATGCCACGCGCCGTCGCTTGCCGTCTGTTGATTTAGATGTTTTCCACCGGATATTCTATCAATTTATGATGATGTTTTACCTGTCGGTTTAATTAATTAATAAATATATATTCACAATATATTAAAATGTAATTGTTTTCTTTTCTAGCACCTTTTTGCTTAATTTCCCGATCATTTTCGGGTGAAATCTTTTAATTTATATTAAAATAATGTTGTTTCTATATAAATTTCCCGTGTCATGATGTGAATATTGATTATCTTTGTAGTTTCGAAAATTTTCTTTTTGTAACACCCTGTATATTAGTTTTCCTAACCGCACGTAGAAGATTGTCTTTATTTGTGAGTTTTGAATGTTCATTGTTTTGAACTTGGGATTTTCTTTCTGGTACACCCTGTATATTAGTTTTCTTTTGTGTCCGCGAAAATTTTGCTTCAACTGTTGTTTTTAGGATTTTCCATTTTGCACTTTAAATTTTCTTTCTGAAACACCATGTATATTAGTTTCCCCGATCGTCTAGAGAAAAGGAGCGACGTTTGTAGTGATAGTGATAGTTTTTTGTTTGCGTTGTAAATTTTCTTTTGTAACACCCTGTATATTGGTTTTCATTTTCAATCACATAGAAAATAGGCTATTTGTTAATTTCATTATCCCGGTAGAACTTTACAAAGTAGTACTTGTTTGCATGTGCGCGACTATGCAGGTCGTAAGTTCTGCATCAATATGGCGGCACGTATTCTGTTGACTTGTAAAATATAAACTTGTATTCTATTGTAAATAAATAAATAGTAAGATATATTTACATCTTCGATTTGTGCGTACCCCTTCTATCACGGCAGGTACAGGTCTCTAATAGAGTTCCCTCTCTCAGAGGATGTTCCCACTATAAAAATTGTTAAGGTACTAATCTTGTATTATATTACATTGTGTTTATTAATAAAGAAATGTTTAGAAATAGTATGTCTTATGCTTTGAATGTACCCCTTCTATCATTTCAGGTACAGGTCTCTAAGAGAGTTCCCTCTCTCAGGGGATGATCCCCTCTATAAAAATTGTTAAGGTAACCTGTATGATTTGTGTGCTCCATCTTTCATTTCAGCTACAGGTCAGAACTTGTAAGAATATTTATAAGTGTCACCTCTCCTGAGGCGACATAAAACTTAGAAATATTTTTACAAGTCTTATAAGGATTGCCCTTATAAGGAGTTCCCTCTCTCTGGGGGTGATCCCCCACCATAAAAATTGTTGATATGCCTGATAATTTCGGGGATGAAGCGCAGAGACATCGTAGCTGTAGGATGGGCCGGGAGCAATGGACGGATCGAAGCAGTGGGCGATCGACCAGAGCGCCGGAGGCGCTCTGGGAGATCGACCGTAGACTGTCTTATAACGACACGTGCCAAAAAATTTAAAAATCTGATCCTCCTCTGTTCTCTTTCCTCTATCTCTTCCTCTTCTCTACTCTGTTCTCTGTTCTCTTCCTTCAATCTTCTCCTGTTCTTTACTACTCACTCCTTCTTCTATTTCTCTGTTCTCGTTTCTCCTTTCTTACTTTCTTACTTCTCGTATTGCCTTCACTTGTATTTCAATTTCTCTTATATTTCGTTGCAATTCATATATGCAACCCAAATTACACCTGATATTTTTATATTTGAGAAAAATGCCTTCCATACCTGAGATTCGATCCATGACTGCTAGCATGCCAGCAGGTGCACGTCTCCACTCGAACACCGAGTGTTTTTATCATTAATATTTGATTCTTATATTTATGTTTCTACTTTATTCAACTTTTTAAAAACAACAACAAGCCTTAGCTATGTTGTACACGTTTCACGCACACAAGATTCATACGCAATATGATGTAAGACGCTTATCCTGGAAACGATAAAGAGGATATCACAAAGAAATGTGAATGCGATTAAATTTTAAATCGTTTTTTATTGATTATATTTAACAATACATTTTTTTTTTAAGAAATATCGACGGTATCAAATCCCGTAGCAGTAAAGACTTGCCTTGAAATACGCGCATCTCGAACACTACCGTCATAATGTAAACTCCATGGTTCGTGCACTCACAAACTTCTTCTCAGAGCACTAACGTTGTCTATTTACAGGAATTAATTTTAAATCCAAGTTATAGTTAGGTGCAAGAAAATAACTGTCAGCCGACGGAACGACACACGCGTGAACCGAAAATGAACGCATCCCATCACACTTGTGAAACCACGATCACGTCCGATTCTAGGGCATGTCGCCTATTCTTTATTAAATATTAATCGATGTACTTAATTATGTTCTGAAGAAACCAAAACTAGTCGCGATGAACACGTGCGATCCACTCGTTGGCCGGAATTACACTGAATGTGCACTGAACTGCACACAGCTAACGTCGGCTACACGCGGTCACTATCAGTATTGCGATACGCTGGCTGAACACGTAAAAAAATATATACAAACATCGCGTGAACCTAAACTGAAAGCATAGCAGCGCCAGTTTTGTTACTACTAACACACTCATTAATCTTTAATCTCTAGGCCCATTTGTCACCCAAATGTTTAATACCGACCAAAATTAATAAAAGTTCTGACTGATTTAAGGGCACTTACTGACACTATCTGAAAAAAATAGAATTAAAATCGAGGCAGGAAAACGCGAGATACAGACGTTTTTTCACCATAACTTTTCAAAAATGACCAAAATTGATAAAATTAGAGACCCATTTAAGAGCACATCCCGGCACTTAAGGATGTGGAATAATATCGATTAAATGTTTCTATTTTAAAATGCACATGTTCAAATTTCGCTACTGTTAGTATTACTTAAAATTAAACGTAATTTAATACTATATCAGAAAACGTCAAAATGAGAACCAAGGATAAATTTATACGATTCACTCCAACTATGATGCGAGTCATTTATTAGAAAAACAAATAAATTGTACCGGTTAAATTACAAGAAAAAGAAGTTAAATAGAATATACGAATTGTGTTTTAATAAAACAAATCAAATAAAAGTAAAACACAAACAACTAAAACACGTGTTATTCAGATAAATTAAACGCTACATTGATTAAAAAGTTAATAAAAACAAAACCAACGACACTAGCGCAACCTAGGTGTGAGAATTTAAACTAATCGACGGTAAAGTACGCCAGCACCATCTAGCTTTCGCGGAACTAACTACGCCAAACGTAACAGAAAACTGCAATATAGCTATTATAGAGCAACTACCAAAGCAATTTTAACAAAATGACTCAAAGTAAAGTTAAGTGAAAAGCAAGTTTTAAAAATAATAAATTTCCATACTTACAATATAATGTAAGTATGACCACGCTGCGAAATCGCATCCAGTAGCCTTAAAACACAAATATGCCATTTTTATGTCTTCCTCTTTTGATACAAAACTAAGATATGAATATAATAAACATTTTCAATACTTACAAATTAATGCAAGAATGACTCTCCTGCTAGGTTCTGTACAGCCTCCAGAACCCTAAAACAGACAAAAATTAGTTTTATTGATTTAAAATATTTTGCTAAATACAATGTCAAAAAAACATCTTTATAGCAATTCTCTTTATAAAACTTCCCGAAAACGCTAAAATAATGCAATAGATAATATTTTCAGTTTTTTTTTTCTTTATTTTCTATCATACATGTAGAAAAACAAAACTTGCTTAAACATAAACAGTTTAAGAATCAGCAATGGTGACCTCAACCTCTACACCAGGTTCAATGGAAATTGAGGTGATCTGCTTCACAATCTCGGAAGGAGAGTGAAGATCAATGACGCGCTTGTGGATCAACATACGGAAGCGATCCCAGGTCTTGGAACCTTCACCACAAGGTGTTTTGCGAGTGGTGATTCTAAGCGTCTTGGTCGGCATGCGAATGGGGCCCTTGACACGGAGCTTTTGCTTCTTGGCGCCGAGGATAAGGTCGCTGCAGACCTTCTCCAAAGAGCGCACGTTGCAAGAGGTCAGCGTGATGCGGATGCGATGGATAGGTGCCGACTCTTGGCCAGGCTTTTCCGGATTCTCTGCCTTCATGGTTGCCTATAAGCAAATTAATTAATTATAAACAAAACACTTAAATTGAATATAGCTGGTTAAGTAGTTATAAGCAAATTTTAAAAATTAAATCTCGAAGCTAACTGATCCACGTATTTGAGGTTATATACGCAAAATGTTAACAGAAAACATTGTTTATACATGGAATAACTGGTCAAAACTAATAAATAACACAATTATAAGCTTACCATTGTTGATTCAAAACAAATGAAACGCTTCTGGTCGAGATAATCAAATATTTCGAGCGAATTTGATCAGCGCTGAACCAGAAACGGCGTGCACGGATCAAGCCACGAACAAAATGGCAGAGTTGCTTGTTTTGACGCTTCGGGAATCTTCGTGCACCATTACCAACATAAAGAAACTATAAAAGGAACTATACAACCAAGCATAATAATTTTAAATTTTGGATATCAATCATTTTTAATGAATATTTATGTTACACAGCAATAAATATTAATTTTCATATTCACATATTATATTTTAATTATACCTATGCTTTTACCTGTTGTATTCGATCAAACAAACGCAATAGTTGCCATAACAACGAATAAACAAGATAATTTGACGGAAAAAGTCAGACTGTATACAGCAAATAATCAATTTTCTACAATTTTTATAAACGCTTTCTACAAAATATAAAATATACCCTTATTTTCAATTGCAATGATGGCTCGAAGAAAAATACGCGCCAAAGGAGACCACACGTAATATTTACGATAACTTTTTTTAAAGCAAATAATTTTATTTTAATAACTTTAGTATTGAAGAATGCAACCATACAGTAAATAGTGTTCCTATTCACTATCATCCTCCAACTGCAAAAGAAGGTAAACCACAGATTACCTTAGTTTCCGGAACCGGAAAATGTGAAAGCATTATCATTCCAAGTCGAGAGCCACTCGCCATTCCTGGCATCTTAGAAAAGAAAGATTTCGAACGTCTTAAAAAACAAGCGAAAGTATTATCAAACGAGGAAAGAAACGCGCTCCTTAAGGAAGCAGAACAAAGGAAAAAGCAGCAACATGTTGATTCAGATAAACGAAAAGAACTGCTACGAAAGTTACATAATAAAGCACCGGAAAAAGGCTCAATCTTAGATGAAGCAGAAATGGAAGCTACCAAAAAGAATCAGTACATGTTACAACGTGCACGAGAACTGCGACAAGAGCAAGAAGACGAAGTAAAAACTTTGAATGGAATTATATTAGCTAGTAAATGTTTGGCAATTCGAGAAGCTCAAATTGCGGAGAAAAAGATTATAGCGAAAGAACTCGAAGATGAAGAACGTCGTTTAGATTTGATGATGGAACAGGAAAGACAACGTGCCATGCAGGAAGAAAAAGAAAAGCAGAAAGAAATCGAACTGCGTAATCGTCAATTTGTTGGTCAGGTAAAAGAACAATTGAAAGTGAACGAAATTCATGCACTCATAGATCGCGAAAAACGTGAGGAAGAAGCAAGAACTAGCAACAAATTACTGATTGCGTTCCAAAAGGCACAACTGGAAGAAATTCAGGAAAAGAAAAAGAAACAAGAGCAAACCAGGGAAGATTTGCGTAAAGCAAACGAATCTGCAACAAAGTTTAAGCAAATGAAGGAAGAAGAGGAGCGAATGATAGATCTTCGCGTAAATAATTGTTGGAAAACTATGTTTATTATCATTATTATATAATTATTTAATATTTTAGTTAAAACAATTTATGGAGCAAAAGGAAAAAGAGGAAGAGGAACGGAAACAGCAACAAGCCATATTAAAACAATGTAAAGATTCAGACATTCAACGGCTTGGCGAAAAAGTCAGAGAAAGCGAATTGTTGGCGATTAAAAGGGAGGAAATGAATGTCTTTCGATTACATGAAGAGGTATTATATTTAAAAATCAACAACTTTGATTCTAAGTTAATTTTTATAGGCAGAGCGTGACTGGCGTAAGAATGAAAAAGAAAAAGCGATTAAACGAAAAGAAGGCATTGAGAAACTGCGCATCGAACGCCAGAAACAGATTGATGACATTAGAGAAGCTCAGGCATTGGAGATCGCCAGAGACCAGGAACAATTTTCTAATGTATTTGTTATTGAATTTTGTTGAATTAATTTACTAATGCAAGTATATTTGCAGGTTTGTAAGATACAACGCAAACAGTACGAACGCGAGATAGAAAAACGCAAGGAAGATAAACTCAAAGCCGAGCAGAATCGCCGCGAGCTTTTAAAACAAGTTAACTTTAAAGAAAAGCAACGCATTGATCGAAGACGGCTTAAAATGGAAGAAGGCGAAGCCATGCGTCTTGAGGACGAGCTGCGCAAGGTGGACTTATTGGAAACTTTAGAACGCAAACTAAATGCACTCGGGTAAGTTTCATATTACGTAAAAGTGCATAAAATTTAAAAATGGTCAGTCATTTATTGCAAAACTGCATTTTGTCCAAAAAACGATCATAGTGCAAAAATATATTCTGTTTTCAGTGAGAGCAGCATCCCGGAACGGACGATTCAGGACATCAGACGTCAGGCCGAGAAGAAGATCAAAGCACACCTCCTGTGAGCATCCCGATACGGCAAGAAACAAATAATTCGACCAAAAACCAAATTCCTAACTAATCCAATTATAAAAGACACAAAAAAAGTAACAAACATTTTCTTCTTCAATAAGAATTAATCTAAAGGCAAAGAATTTTTTTCAAATAAATTTTTTAATGAAAAACAACTATAAATAGAAAGTGCTAATAACGCAATAATTAATACACAAAATAAACAAGAAAAAATGTAAAATAAAAAAAAGCGTCGAGACACTTCCAGGCCTGCAACAATATCAACAACTGATAATTAAATAACGATCATATTATTGCAAACGTACTAGAGGCAGGATTTAAATTAACAGATCGATTACTTACTAATAAGCAAGCGATAAACATTGTTACGCTTGAATTAAAACTTCCTAGAAAGAGTACACACTATTGTTTTTCAATATTGGGCACACGATAATTATATAAAGATAAAACTGCAAGTGCATAATAAATCAAACAAATACAAACACATCGTTCAAAAGTGTTGACAAAAATTGACAAATTTACCTTTTTGGTGTTCGAAATCCTCAATTTTTGTCCGTCGTCCGTAGAAAATTCATTACCTAAAAACATGGTATTTGGTTTTCATACAAAGCACGATGGTATTAATGTTTAATCGTAATCATATCATAATCATAATATAAGAGCATACTTATTAAATATTATTCGCTATCGAGTATAGATAGAATATGAATAATCATGTTTATGTGTGTGTGTTCAAAAATGTCTTCGGTCTCATGGTTAATACAAATCGTCAAGTTATATCAGAGAACATAGGAAAATAACGACGTTGCGTGGCAAAGAAACAAAAATATTACGAATATTATAGTAAAAGACGTTAATATGTTAATAGATATATATGCGTGGCCAACACGAGATTCATTTTTCATTTGATAAAAACAAAATGCGTTCCTCATAGGTCAGTCCATCCACGATGCCTAAAAATGTACAATCTGCATGCGCAATCCTGCAACACATTGCTATACATACACAGTTTATGAAATTTGACGCAAGTTTTGAGCTACACAAATTTGTGAATAGTGGGTTGCCACCTGCAAAAATCAATGCACAATTTGTTGCAACGTACGAAAATAGAAAATACATGAGCATATATATAATATAAAATAATGATTAATGAATTGAATACATATGATCGAAATTATTTCTTTCGCCAAGGAAAACCTACAAACGTGTGTGAACCATTTATGTTTCTATAATCATGTCATCGCTTATAATGCTACATTTGTGTTGTTAGTCGTGTTGATGTTCATGAGTTGTGTCCAGTATGGCCAGTAAATTTAAAACTTATCTTTTCAATTATGTACTTATTCTTACGCTAAATATGTTGTAACTAACTACTATCTAAGCTTTCTTTAATTCGTCGTAAACGTATTTAAATGTAATCTGGAAGCTATATAATTATTTATTCTCTTAATCGTGCATTAAGTTTGAATATTCAGTAATTTTATTCTTAAATTTTGTTTTGTAGAAGACATTTTCAACGTTTCGTTTTATTTTCAAATTCGTCAACTCTCCAATCTGCTATGCATACTTCAAAATATTCTATGTACAATCAATTATTCAAGTTCTTAGTATGTAGCTTAACGTCTTTCATCATTCCTATATCTAATATATTATACCATTACTTTCTCGTCATTGAAGTTTAAATTCTTTAATTCTTTCATAATTAAGCGGTACGTGAGAAAGTTAAATTAATATTTTATAAAAGTGAACAAAAAGTATACGTATTAAGCCATTACAAAAGCAAATATACGTCGGAATAAGTAAAGTCGCATGGATTAAACCATTACTTAACTTATACCGAATGTACGATGAAAGAGAAACATATTCAACGAAAGAAATCGATTATACTTAATAAACAAACAATCGCAAATATATAATTTCGCACATTCCTCTTGCGCGCGTCGCCGAATAGAGCACTTAATACGCTTAATACTTTTCGATTAAAGAGTTCATAGAATGATTTGTAACTTTAAGCGGCTGGTGAATATCTTCGGCTGTCTTCGAGATGATTTCTTCAGCGCCGCATCCGACGCACCTAAATTCTACGCTTTCGGCAACAACCAACCCAACAAATCGCAATCAAACATGTTCAATGTGAATGTTCAACCTTCAATAGCATCAGTATCAAACACCAATAACGTTTTCATCAAAGGGATACACATTATGCACATGTTATGGTAATGTTCATCGTCTGCATCATCATCAGCATGGTTCATCATAGGTTCGTCTTATTTTTTTTTTGTTTAACAACCGTAATTTGCGAAAATTAGTCAAGCACGCCGTCCTTGGCAATTGATGACCGAGACATAAAATGGCAAATTCAAGTGGCGGCGGCGATATTCATAGGATTTATCTGTAAATTGCACAAGAAAACACAAGATTGGAAGCGGTCGCTATATGCATCGGACCCAGATTTTGTTTTTGCCTGTAAATTCACTAACAATACTATCAACAAATTCAAAATACATGTAACAAATGAGCATTTTCTCCAAATAACCCCAAGTTATCCAAGTTATTGGAAGAAACAAAGGGATGCAATTAATTTCGAATAGATTTTATATTGCAATAGGCGTCTGAAGAACGTATTTTGATATCTAACAATACAAAGCCTTAAAACAAAATCCATTCTTCTGACTGCACATATTGCAATAATAAATAACTCACTAAGCATCCCCTTGTTGTATCTACTCCAAAACTATGTGTAACTTACTCTGCTCCAGCATTACAATGAATCAAAGATAGTATTATAAGTACATGAAAAACATTAAGTGATTACATTAAGAATAAAAGTGTTAAGAGCAAACAAAGGTAAGCGAATAAATCGTGTAGCCAATTAGGTATATTGTATATGAAAGAAATAAAACTACGGTCGCCTACGCGCAGGTTGCTGCCAAGTCTCGCCTGCCCTCTCTGCCCTGTCTGTAATACCTAACTCCAAATAATGAATCGACAAGGAGAGAGAAAGAGCATAATAGCACACAAATCAAACACAATGTCAATACAAACATCGATTAATAAATCAACAAATCAATTCAAAGTCATGTCAATAAATCACGTGCAGCAAGTAATCACCAAATAATTAGTTTTGCACTTTCAAGTCAATATGTAAATGCGTGAATGTACAAAAACACAGATATATATAATATACAAAATGGCGACAAGGTTGTGGTGGTGCGATATTCGATTAGAAAATTTTATCATAGTGTGTAATCATTTATCTCAGATATAAAAGAAAATTCGAAATACGAGTTGACGACCCTCAATGGATCGTTCGTCGCCCGAACCAATCGTAAAAACATAATTGTAATGTATGATAAGCGTTAAGGACGTAGTCGATTATAAAAATATAAACAAAATCGAAGAGAGGACAATCCGAACGCAAATACACGTATATATAAAAGTACAGTTAAGCCACGAAAGGGCGGTGTGTGATGGGGTACTCACGTTTTGTGTGTCGATGCCGACTGGGGGCGCGTTGTTGAGATCATTCAGTCGGAGGACGGCTGCTGCGTCTGCGGTGGGGCTTGCCCTGCGTGCCGGGGCACCGCCATAACCGTAACCAAAGTTATATTGACCGGCAGCGCCTTGCGGAACGGATGCTGTCTGTCCAGCTTGCGCACCATAATAACCTATATATCAAAATAATGTTAATTTTAACAAAGAAGGATTAATCTTGATAAAAACATACCTGTTTGTCCTTGGTATGCACCGTACGACTGCTGGTAAGCTGTCGTCATCGATGCCTGCGAAGATTGCAGGTTTGGTTGGGTACCAGCTGGCGGTGCAGAACTCTAATAAGTTAAATATTACAAATTAAACACTGCTTTTAGTACTGCTATTAAAATTAAATACTTTGTTTTTCATCTGCGCTTCAATCGCTTCAGCTTCTTTATGTTTGCCCAAGCTGCGATAATAATCCGCCCACTGAGCGCTGTAATCTGGTTGACCATTCGCTGCAGGTTGCGCACCTCCTGCTGCAGCAGCGGCCGCTGCTGCTTGTGCAGTTGCTGAATGCGTGGGATTCGCAGCGTTCGCTAAACTTGGCGTTGGCGCACTAGTAGGTGTGGGACCTTTGGTTTTCGACTACAAATAAACCACAATCGTTTATTTAATACACATTACCACATTGTAAGCGTAGGTACCTGTTGTTCTATCATCTCTGCTTCTCGATGCATGCCCAGGGACCGGTAGTACTCAGCCCATTGCAGTGAATAATCTGGTTGACCCGCTCCTCCTGGCATTTGTACACTGCCACCAGGTACACCAGCTTGCTGTCCTCCATCGGCACCGTTACCGGCTTGTTGTGGACCGTTCCACTGCTGCTGGAAGCCTGGCACGCCCCAACCCTGGGGATTGTAACCCTATTAATCAAAAATAAATATGAAAAAAATAAAATAAATTTAAAAAAGAAGAGTAAACATAGTTTTTAGTTTGAAAAATAAAATAAAAACTTACAGTAGGGAGAGCATTGGAGACATTACCACCCGCCGCAACAAAATTGATGGGTAGTTGAACCTTATCGCTAATAATACGCTTCGCCGCCTCAATTTGCTCCGGCTCGCCACGAATAATAAAAGTTTTGTCACCATTTGGATGTGCTGGTGAGCGCCGATCAAGCTCGCAATGCGCACCCGAATTCATGTTAATCTGCTTTATCGTGTCGCCACCTGAAATAATTCAATTATAAGATAATAATCACAAATCCATTTCGTTTCTTTGTTACCTCGGCCAATAATAACGCCACATTTGGAAGCAGGCACTGTGAACGTTACCTCAGCGGACTGCCGCCGATCATCCCAACCCTGATAATCATTTCCACCATTCCGGCCATTTCCCCGTCCGTCAAACCTGTCTCTGTTGCCTCGGTTGCCGCCACCGTTTCGGCCACCGCCGTTTCCGTCGCCATCACGTCGAATTACACTATCGATAAGCTCCTCTATTCTTTGACGAGCTTGTTCGACATTCTGTGGTTTGCCAGAGAGGTAACACCGCCTCTCGCCGGGTCCTTCGTCTCTGGCTTGTTGGAATTGCACTCTTGCGCCGGTTTCAGCTTGGATTTTCTTTATCATATCTCCTCCCTTGCCGATAACAACACCGACAGCTGCCCTTGGAACTAGTACTTCTACTTCATTGCCGCCTCCTCCGCCACCGCCGCCACCATTACCATAGTCGTTGCCACCTTGGAAACCTTGACCTCCACGGTCACCACGATCGCGACCACCTCCTCCGCCCTGGCCTCCACCGCCACTTCCTCCTCGATTGAAAGCCTGCATTTCTTTTTCAGCTATCAGATCATAAACCAATTGTTTTGCGTATTCTACTTTCGCGGGATCGCCGCTAATGCGTAGAGGTTTTTCCTGTTCTTGATTGGGACCATCTTGAATGACAACCATTTTGGCACCGGAACGTTCCTGTAATTGTTTTATTGTTTCCCCGCCCTTGCCGATTATCAATCCGACTTTCGGGCCGGGAACCATTATTTCCACAAAGTTACGCCCCGCATTGCCATTTGCACCTAGAATAATTGATTGCAATAATTACTTCAAACGATGATTGAATATTTTACACATTAGTTGGAAATAATCGGGTTCAGGAATTCTAGGAGTGGAGGAGAATCCGTTATAACCTTCTGGAGAAATGTGAAATACTGGATACAATCCTGTTAAATGAGAGGAAACAAAACGTGCAAGGAGTTGCTTCGTGCGTGAATTTAGCAAACTTGTGTTTGATATTTTACCCTGTCCAAGTCCGGGTCCAAGATCGAGCCCGGCGATGCCTTCGGAACGTCCGCGCTGGTGCACGATATTCATGATGAGCTCCTTTGCTCTGGTGATAGCCTCACGCGAGCCCGACAACGAGCAAACGCGTTCCGGCTGACCAGCAGAGTCGGGTGCCATCTGAATCTTACAGCCGGACTCGACCTGTAAGCGCGTTATTTGTTCGCCACCCCTTCCTATTACTGTAAAAATATTTATATGCATATGAATACAATTGTATCAAATGAATTCTTAGATAAATTCATGTGCAAACTGATTAAATTACTTGGTAGAGGTTAAGTTAATTAATAAAACTTACTCAATCCAACCATTTTATCAGGGACCTTGATGTCTTCATTAATCTGAGGTCCACCCCCAAGGGCCGGCTGCCCCATACTCTGTCCCATTGGTCTGGGAACATTTCCAACCATTGAAGTTGCTAGTTTCTTGCTATCGGGCTCTAAAATTAATCCCTCTTCTTCTAACGTTAGTGATGATAGAGTTACTTGTAAGTTTAATTTACCTTGCCCATCTTCCAAAGGCCGCTTCTGTCCCGCGCCCGCGGTAGGGTTGATTTTTGCCGCTATCTGCAAGGGTAAACAAAGTTACTAAAACTGCACGACTGACAAACGCGGTGTGCTATAGTGACGAATGATTGTAAAGTGGGTGAAGTATAATTCGCATTCGTTGCAAAATCTTAGCAGGCGAAGCCGGAAGAACGCGGGACTAAAGAAGAATATCGCAGAGGCGTCTTACTTGTTTCGCTCGTTGGAGGGCGGCGGCAAACGCCGACGATGTGTTGAAATTCTGCTGTGGTGGCGGCGCTACCGCTGAATAGTCACTCATCTTTTACATTCACAATGCCGACATGGAAAGTCTTCTATGCTACTCGGAATCTATAACATGGAGTGCGTGCCCACCGTTCGCGTGAAGAACTCCCGTTTTGCTTTTGATAGCGATCGGACAGCGACAGCGTTGTTAGTGACTTTTTTTAGTGATTCGCAATACCAACCAACGTTAATTTCCCCTCCAAATCAGCGTTCCAATTGCAGAAACCAACTCTTGGCTTTATTAAACCTGTATTATCATTTATATTTGCCCAATATATACAGATATTATTAAATAACTGAAAACAACACCCAAAATTAATTATGAATTAATTTATATTGTTTCTAAACTCGAATAAAATCACATTGTATAATTCAAACAAATGATGCTACCTATGTTGCCACCTAAACACACCCAGAACTGGATTATCTGCTGAATATTTCAGGTTTTGGGAATAAACTGCCAGCTATAATTAAAGACTAATCCAATAAGTTCAATTACTATGAATTATCAACAAATTTAATAAGAGGCTATAGGGACGCTATAATAATCGGCAACGGTGTAAATTCGAGCGATGCGCTCGCAGCGCTTACTAGTCGTACCGCCATTTTGCATCGCATTTGCCAGTACAGCGGCTCCTGAACGCCGCGACGCGAAGACAGCCAACAAGCCAACGGGTCTTACAAAGTTTCACCAGGAAGTTTCGCGCCGATCGCTAACCGCGCATACGGGATTTCAACGCGGCGACTTTCATGTGCATCATACGCCCGCGCGCGTGTCAATGATTTGTGTAAAGTGCGCGCAGCGTTGGTTCCTGGACTTTGAGAAATAAATGTAAATAAATCCCGCTTGGAGTCACCAACGTAACCAACTCAGGTTAGTAAATTGCAGTTCAACAATCGCATCCGTAATTTTTCAATAGATTTTCATCTACAACTATGTATTTGTTTCCATGGTATATAGAAAATTATTCAGAGCGTACGCGTCGAACAAGTGCGTGCGGTTCTCGTTTGTTTTGATTACCGTTGCTTTTTACTTAACCCTATGAGGAACGCCGAAAATTCGATGCGCGACTAGTTGTTTTCTTGGAAACTCTAACAATAAAATATTTAACTTGCATTTGTTTACAATATGATAATATTTGGAATAAACAATAGCGAATACAGCATTATCTTGTTGTTAAATGCAATAATTTTGTTTAGAACCGCTGCAAAATGTCGGAGATAGTTTACCCGCCTGGCTGCAGGCCAATCACAGACGACCTCGGCGCCGACGAGCTCATCCGACGCCTGAAAACCCTCGCGCATACACTCCAGGCCATGGGACAAGACGAGGGCGCCTACCAACAGTACATCCCGCTCGCATTACACCTTGCTGAAGAGCAATTCCTCTCACATCCGTCTCGGGACGTTCAGCTTCTGATTGCCTGCTGCATCGCTGACGTACTCCGCGTATACGCTCCAGAGGCTCCGTATAAGGACACCGATCAAGTGAAAACAATCTTCCTCTTTTTAATCACACAACTATCAGGGTTAAAAGACCCCAAAGACGCCGCTTTCAAGCGATATTTTTACCTCCTCGAAAATCTCGCATATGTTAAATCATTCAACATGTGTTTTGAATTGGAGGATTGTCAGGAGATTTTCTGCGCATTGTTTCATCTGATGTTTAAAATCGTCAACGACGAACACTCCGGCCGAGTGAAGAGTTTCATGTTGGATGTTTTATGTCCATTGATCACTGAAAGTGACATAGTCAGCAATGAGCTTCTGGATATTATCCTGATGAATATTGTTGAGCCAAACAAGACGAGCAAAAAGAACGCGTATTTGTTAGCAAAAGAGTTGGTTGTGAAGACGTCTGACACATTGGAGCCTTACATTCAAGGTTTCTTCAATCAGGTGTTGATTCTTGGTAAAGAAGACAAGACACTTTCAATTTGCGGCAAAGTTTATGATTTAATTTATGAATTGAATCATATTTGTCCGCATATTCTATTAGCAGTGCTGCCTCAGCTCGAATGCAAACTGAAAAGCCCTTCGGAGAGTGAGCGTCTAGGAGCTGTGGCGCTTTTGGCGCGAATGTTCAGCGAAAAAGATTCTGAACTCGCGCGTCGTCACACTCAATTGTGGCGTTCATTTCTGGGCCGCTTCAATGATATTTCCGTCGGTATTAGGACGAAATGCGTTCAGTATTCGATGCATTTCCTGTTAAATCATCCAGATTTAAGGAAGGACATCACTGATACTTTAAAAATGCGTCAGCATGATGCGGAAGAGACTGTGCGTTATGAAGTTGTCATGGCAATTGTTACAACTGCTCGGAGAGATTTCCAAGTGGTGTCTGACAGCGAAGACCTGCTGGAATTTGTCAAGGAGCGCACGTTGGATAAAAAATTTAAAATCCGCAAGGAAGCAATGAGTGGACTTGCGATGATTTACAGAAAACATCTCTCTGATCCTGACGTGCCGAACGCCACAAAGAAAGCTGTCACTTGGATCAAGGATAAAATCCTTAACGGTTATTACATGGCCGGTATGGAGGATCGTTTGTTGGTGGAACGTCTACTTAACACGTGCCTCGTTCCCTTCCAACTGCCCGCTGCTGAAAGAATGAAGAAACTTTATCATCTTCTTGGAACTGTTGATGATCACGCACGCAAGGCATTCATGGAGTTGCAGAAGAATCAACTCTGTGTGAGGAAGCTTGTCCTCGAATGGCTTGATTTGCATCGACGTCCATCAACATCTGATGTAGCTAAAGAGTCGATGAGTAAAGTAACTTCTCTGTCGCGATGTCTGCCAGAGCCTGTCAAAGCAAACGAATTTCTGACGAAGTTTTCTAATCATCTTAGAAAAGATGCTGCGCTTTTGGATGCAATGGATACAGTCGCTCGGCCGTCGGTTAGTTGTCAAGAATGTTCTGAGGCTACTGCGAGTGTATTAAAGAAGCTCGGCCAGCCGGTTATGACGAATTTGTACTACAATACAGTGAAGATGCTCCTGGAGAGAGTTAGCAGTGTAATGGTTGATCACAATGCAATTAAACTACTTGTAGGCTATGTGGATGATTGTTTGCGTGGAGGGAACACGGTTGAAGAAGTCGGGTTACACCCAGCGACTGCTGGCGACCGTGGGTTGAAACTGCTTGTCATGTTGAGTAGTGTTTTCCCATCCCATTTTCATCATACGGATGTTTTGGAGGAGTTGATGGAGATGTTGAATATTGAGGATGAAAATGTGGCGCCTTTAGTTCTTAGCGTTTTCACTTGGTTAGGAAAATATAAAAGTTTATGTAAGTAAACCTAGATAATTGAGTTTAATTGTAATTTGTATTTATTTTGTGGTTTTATGTTTATAGCTGAAGATTTCCCGCAACTGATGGAGTCTCTCGCCCCAATGTGTAAAAACTTTGCTGAAACCGGCACACCAAAGCAGGCGAAACAGGCTATCCGCTGTATATACGTGAATATGGTCGATTTGCACGATACGCTATTCCCTGCCATCCTAGAAGCAACGAAGAACAACTTGGAGCCGCAGAATTTATACTATCGCACGGCGATTGTCACCTTGGGTCATATTGCGTTTAACGTGCCCGAAAAATGCAAAGTTCAAATCAAAAATATTGTTTCCCGAAAGGTAAACTAACAAATTTCACATTATTGCATTATGTAACTTTGTTTTATTTTATTTCACAGATTGTAAAAGAATTGTTGGTGAAAGATGTCAAAGATGGCGAAGAATGCCACGATATGGAAACGACGTGGTGCTCCGAAGACGACCTACCCGAAGAAACACGCTGTAAAATCGAAGGTCTCAAAGCAATGGCTCGTTGGCTGCTTGGGCTGAAACAAGATATTGCATCCGCGCAGAAAACATTCCGCATGCTGAACGCATTCATTCTACACAAGGGTGATTTGCTGCAATCAGGTAAACTTTCTCCTGCGGAAATGTCCTGGTTGCGTTTGTCCGCCGGTTGCGCGATGCTGAAAGTATGCGAACAGAAAGGTGTAGGCGATCAGTACACCGCCGAACAATTCTACAACCTCGCTACGCTGATGACGGACGAGGTGAAGCAAGTACGCGAATTATTTGCTGCTAAACTACATAAGGGATTGTGCCGCGGCTTGCCGAATAAATGCCTACCGTTGGATTTCATGGGCTACTACGCACTTGCCGGCAAGGAACCCGATAATAAGCTGAAACAGACTATCAAAAACTACATGGTGGCCGATATCAATAAGCGGCGCGATTGTGTCAAGACGTTGACAATGGGCGCGGGACAAATCGACAAGGCGATGAGTGAATTGCCGCACATACTGCCCGATTACATGCTGGTGTTTGCCATCCCAGTACTAGCGCATGATCCTGCTTTCTCCAAGTGGGACGATGTGAATGATTTGACGAAGGCGAGATTGTGCCTCTGGTTTATTCTCGAGCCGCTTATTAGCAAGAGCGAGTACTTTAGCTATGGATTTTACAAGAACTGCATCGAGCGTATGAAGAATCACAAGGATTCACTACGACCTGACGATGATTCAATTAATTACGTAAGTTATAATTAAAAAAAAATCTAAAACATAATTAACGTGTTTTTTTCCTTCTTTTTAATAGAAATTATGGGCGTTATGCGATTTAACGAGCGGATTGCTCCTGACGAAGACGTTACACTACGACATGAAGGACTTCCCGTCTGACACACGAATACCTGCGATGTACTTCACACCGCAGACAGATTTCGTCAACGCGAGAGTATTCCTCCCGCCAGAGTTGCAGTATCAACCGAAGAAGACCGGCATCACACTGTCAATGATCAACGCCGAGCGAAACAAGAAGGTGAAGAATAAGCACACCAAGCTGGAACCCTGTGGGCCGCTAGGCACAGACGTCCAAGTAAGTTTATTTTGTTTATTTTCTTTAGTAATCATTAGTTTTAATGGCAACATTATCATTATATTTGTCATACGTGCAAAAATAATTGTGTTTTAATTGTGCGCAAGCAGCCGCCTCAAGTATTAATTAAAGGAATAGATGCCCAGGTAAAAACACACGTTTGACATTGCTGTATTTTGAATTGTGTGTGTTTGATAATGTTATGTACATAAATGTGTGTTTTATTATAGCCTTCAGAAGCGTCGGAAACGAAGATACAAGTCCCGGGTCTGGAAGACATCGACGAGCCGCCGGCGAAGCGTCTACGCGAGCGAATAAAACTTGAGATGGATAAGTGACCGGATGCCTCATTGTAAATATGGATTGTATTTCTAAACAAGTTAAATGATAACTACCGATAGTCGATCTCCTTTTTTTCTACGTTTTATTTGTAACGTCTGTCGACAGTCGCATGTAATTTCCACACAAAGCAGTATATTCCGACGAAAGAGAACAATAACAGAAATAACTATACACTGTTATTTGAATTCTCTGATTGTGTATTTGAATGAAGACAGTAATTTTAATATCGCGAGGAGGACACATTAACTCAACTGTACTGTACAATAAGAGAAAGATAGTGCCGAATGGATTTGGGGGTGAGAGTACGAAAGAGGGTGGTTCGTTTCTGGTAAACGCAACTATTATATTCCTTGAACGTTTTGTTCAAAAAGCCGAAAGAAGTACCCGCTGTGTTTTTTTCATTTTTATCATACTATGATGATTTCTAGTTTAAGTTGTACAATGATTCATCTATTAAGTTAGCTTAAAATGTAAGTTTTACGGACACTCAACACAAACACATTTACATCTTTTCATTATTATGTATTTATTTGGTTGTATTGGATTGGTGTAAATGATTACAATTTGCTCTTTTATGTTCAGTGTAGTTTTATCTTATGTTATTTCGAATGCGTTCATTTTCCATCCCGATTATGTAATTTACATTTGGAGAAATATTTTTTTTACAAATGTATACTTAAAGTAAAAAACTATACATAAACAATTTGTGGATTGCATTATTACGAGATTGATAACCTTGATGGTATCTTTATTTATAAATAATAAGAGCTTTTGTTCTAACTTCCGATGAAATGATTCAGATCAAGCTTTGTTTCAAGTGTTTATTACAATCGATTATGACAAAAGTGGAATCCGCTTTTAAGAGGTTTGTCGCGAGTCAGATAACGCGCGGAATAATCCCCGGAGCATGTTCTCTATAAATGTATGTGTCCGGATATTGGCGTGCAACTTGGCAACCAAATTCGGTGAGTTTACATCACACTACGGATTATTACATATATTTCGGTTGGCGAGTGAGTGCTCGCCTTGGGCGAAAGTTCGGAAAGACCGCGTGCGGCTTCTCGTTCGTCAAATTGCGTAATAGTTTCTGTGTGCGTAAACTTTCACCTGTCATTCCCCTCGCATCGCAGCCTTGCTGCAGCGGGAAGTGGAAGTTTGGAGTGGTCACATTTTCGCGCAAGTTTCACATTCAACAATGAATGTTCTAACAAACGCGACGCTTTGATGTAATATTGCAATACAAAATAAAAATAGTTTGCGCGTGAAAGTGTTTACAAGAAGTTACGTTTTAAATTAACATATTATGTTTAGTTTCAATTGAAGTAAGTAAAAATTCTGCGCGTTTCTATATTCTATACAAGTTGCGGATTTGTTCTATTCGTGTGCAGCGCAGTGAATCTATCGAGGTCTTTTCTTATTTTCTCATTGCAACGCGAAAGGCATAGCTAACAATTTCAACCTTGCGCCGAGTGGAAAATGAGCACAAGCTGCTTGAGCGCTGATGCGTGATGACCACAGCTTCATACATTAGAATCGAAAACTTTAGTTCTAAAACTCATCAATATTTATTTTCGTAGATATTTTAAAATATTCTCTAAAGTGAAGCTGAATAGAAAGTTTGCAGCCGTGGATTATCTTTAATTTTTGACCTTTTAACATCATCGCCCGAACACAACATGAAAGATTCCACATCAAGTAAGTAGTTAATCGAAGATAATCAGTTTTTATTAATGCTAATTGCTTCTAACCATTGCTAAATTACATTACCTTGATTTTTAGATTTCGACGCTGAAAAATTTGTGGATAATTTAATAAATAACGGAGCACGAGTGAATTGTGACAATACAAATGATAAATATAATGAATATAAATTACCTGCTGATTTTGACGAAGAGAAATTTAAACGGTTTGAATAAAATAATTTGGTTTTTATTTTTTTTTACATGTTTATAAATTCGTAATATTTACAGGGGACAAAAATTCTATCATGACAACATATTTATGCTCTTCATGGGAAAGTTGACTGGGCTAGTGACGATTTTATCCATACCATCAATTTTAAAAATACTTGTTTTTACTAATATGTCTGCCACAACTTATACCTCCTACAGGCGTTACATGGCGACCATTTTTCACATGAATGTTTGGTATACGGATGATTTTAAACCTGGATCAGAGTAAGTTGGTGGTAACAACTGTTTTAAACCGAAAAAATACTTAAAATGTTTAATTTCTTTTATTTTTTAACCTGTAGTGATACAATTTTACTTTATTAAGGTTGGGAAACTTAAAAGAAACTTAAATAAGTAAAATAAATTTGAAACTTTTTAGTTTGTGGAAATCAATGGCAGATGTGCGAAGAAAACACAACACAGCAAGTAAACGCAGCGCTTGTGTTGGTGCCAATCGCATATCACAGTTGGACATGGCCATCACTCAATTTGGTTTCATGGGATACGCTTTGACCCACCCGGAAAAAATAGGACTATTTCATCCAGACCCAGTTGGATTAGAAGGTTTTGTTTACCTATGGAGAATCATCGGTGATTTAATGGGAATTGAAGATCAATTCAACATCTGTCGTCATTCTGCTGAGGATACGCGTGCTGTCTGCCAGCTTATTATCGAAAAGCAATTGAGAAAGTATGCTGAACAACGAGATCCTCTCTTTGTTAAAATGGCGAGCACTTTGGTTGAAGGCATGCAAGTTATGCAACCGTTCTTGTGTCCCGGATTAACACTAGTCGTTATCTTAAGATTGGTCTCGCCAGGGAGCCAACTTTTAAAGGAGGAGATGGCTAAACTAAACAAGGATCAGTTATGGTCTTATAACTTTGAACAACTTGTAATAAATTCATGCCGGCATTGGTTCTGGAGATGGTATTTGAATATGACATTGCACGTATCACTCTGGTTGATGAAATATTTTCCATTTTTGGCGTTGTGGAAATACGGCCGTAAAGATGGCTACGTACGGATTTTAGAAGAACCGGCGCCATCTTTGAGAAATGTTTACCAATCTGGTTAGTCACGGGTTGGAAAATTCGCTTGGTATTTAATTATTTTGTTTATAAAACAAGATTGACGCTTTAAAATTTGTTACAACACAACATATTTATATTAAACAATGTTCTATGATTAAAAATCTCGTAAAACTTCATCGAAGGCACCGAGCATCATCTCCACATCGACATTATTTTCTCTTTCAGCAATAATACTAGCGCTGGGCAATTCTGACGGTCGACAGGCTATTGGTTTCTCACTGAAGAATTTGTGATGCAAAGCCTATAAAAATATAGTTCAATTTCGTTAAATTTAAATATTTAGATGTTAACATACTGCTTTTGCGCTTAATCGTCGTTCTTGATCGTAAACAACAAAACTTTTAACAAAATTCCTTGATTCGACGGTAGCTTTAGGTAAAATTGTATTCCAACTAGACCCAGCATTTCGTGCAAATGTTATTTTATTATAATCTGGGAGTTCAGATAATCCAGGCCATGTTTCTTCCGATGGTGTACCAAGTGTATGCAACACAATTGCAAGTTGTTCAATATCAGTTTCACCCTAAAAATAATCATTTCCCTCAACTTCTAAAAACGTGATAAAAGCGATCTGAAACATTTATACCGGAAATAATGGCGATCTATTAATCATTTCTGCTGCAATGCATCCAACTGCCCACATATCAACCGAATTTGTGTATTTTCGTGCTCCGTACAACAACTCCGGTGCACGATACCACCGTGTCGCTACCTGATGAGAGTATAAGCGGTCTGGTTCATTTTCCACGTAGATTCTCGCCAAACCAAAGTCTCCGATTTTTAAAACACCGTTATTAGATATAAGCAAGTTTGTAGGCTTTAAGTCGCGATGCATGATGTGGTTTTCATGCATATACATCACGCCTTCCAAGAGCATCCAAAGATATGCTTTTATTTTTGGTAAATCGAGTTCTTCTCGAAGAAATTGCATCATAAGGTGTAGATTAGCGGGTAAGTATTCCATGACTATGACAAGGCCCATTCCAAGTGGGACTACATCGGTTAATTTGACTATCTATAAAAGTATTGTATGTAAACTTATGTAAATTTGATTAATCGAATTTAATATTACGTTTTCATGATTGAGGACTTTGAGTGTTGTAATTTCTCGAACCAGATTTTTGGGTATTCCCTCATCGAGGTTTTTGATAACTAGTTTTTTTAGAGCTACATTTTGGTTGTCGAAGCGGTCGATTCCTTTCATCACATATCCATGCGCGCCTTGACCAATTCGTCCAATAATTTTATACCGATCCATTTTATTTATTTTGTACCTACACAATTATTTACTTAAATGGTACATTTTTATTGAATATCTGCAAGTAAACGATTTTACACTATGTTTGTTTGTATTGTAAAGTTTAATTGATTGTTTCTCTTACGAAAGAAAAGTAAAATTATAAATAAATTTATTTAATACTGTAAAACTAGAAAAAATAAGTATAAAATTTATATTTTCTAAGTTGAGCCACAAAAAATACTACGGCAAAACCAGAAATTCAAATTTACTTCAGAGAATTTAAATTTTTGCGGTGACAATGTCATTGTCGCCATTTTCTAGTTCAAAGCAACATTTAAAATACTAATAAAACTACAAAAACGCATTCTTTGTATTGATTTAAAATAAAATAATAAATACTTTTGAAAAGAAGACAGTAATTCGATTTGACATTATTTTAAAATCTTCATCAATGTGTAGCGAAAAATCATTTGCGGTGTTATGTAACATGCGCGCTGTGCGCAAGCGTCGCGTTTTTGACTAGCGCTGTACTCTCGCTCGAACAATCCGGCAGGAGCTGTCGTCGATCCGCCGTCTACTCCATCTTTTTCAGCTGCTCCGGTCGAGTTTAGTACAATAGTGTAAGGTAAAATGTCTCTGCTGTCAGCGCGTATCGCCGCCTCCGTGGCCAGGAACCTGCCGAGCACCGCCTCGAAGGTAAGATTGCAATTTCCAGCCGAAATTCGGCGTACTTCATCGATATCACGTTCTCATTGAAATCGCCTAGCCTACACTAGTGACATAATCACGTAACGAAGTCATTCAATGGTTACTCGTGGAAGCCTTTTAAACTCATGTATGGTTCGATAAAATGACTTCTTTAACATCTCGTATTTACTGGATTTATCTCCGGTTCCTACGGGAATATACTTTCTTAATATTAGGCAGCCAGACTTCATGTGTTATGTCCATGTGTTATGTAACGGTGAATGTGTACGACGGCACTTGAATGAAGATTTTGTTGAATTTAGGTTGCTGCCGCCGCCCTGCCAACCACCGCGGTTGCCGCCCGCAAACTTCACTTGACATCGCAGAAATGCGGCGCCGAAATCAGCTCCATTCTCGAGGAGCGCATCCTTGGCCAGGCCCCCAAGTCTGACCTCGAGGAAACCGGCCGCGTGTTGAGCATTGGTGATGGTATCGCTCGTGTCTATGGTCTGAAGAACATCCAGGCTGATGAGATGGTGGAATTCTCATCTGGTCTTAAGGTACAAATACATATTTAAGTCACTTATTTTATCTTATGTAACTCTTAGTGAATCTTTAGACCTAGAAATGATAGTAATCTAATATTTTTTTTAAATTTTGCTTTTAGGGTATGGCCTTGAATTTGGAACCTGACAACGTTGGTGTTGTAGTCTTCGGTAACGACAAACTCATCCGTGAAGGTGATATTGTCAAGCGTACCGGCGCTATTGTCGATGTGCCAGTCGGCGAACAGATCTTGGGTCGCGTCGTTGATGCTTTGGGTAACCCCATCGACGGCAAAGGTCCATTGGACACCAAGACCCGCTTCCGTGTGGGTATCAAGGCTCCTGGCATCATTCCCCGTGTGTCTGTGCGCGAGCCTATGCAGACTGGTATTAAGGCCGTCGATTCACTTGTACCCATTGGCCGTGGTCAGCGTGAGTTGATCATTGGTGATCGTCAAACTGGGTAAGAATTTATACTTTTATGAAAAAGAATTTATTCTAAATATTTTTGCTGAAATTTATAGCAAAACTGCCCTGGCTATCGACACCATCATCAACCAGCAGCGTTTCAATAACGCTGATGAAGAGAAGAAGAAGCTGTACTGCATCTACGTCGCCATTGGTCAGAAGCGTTCCACCGTCGCTCAGATCCTTAAGCGTCTTACTGACGCCGGTGCCATGAAGTACACCATCATTGTGTCTGCTACTGCCTCTGATGCTGCTCCTCTGCAATACTTGGCCCCATACTCTGGCTGCGCTATGGGAGAATTCTTCCGTGACAACGGCAAGCACGCTCTCATCATCTACGACGATTTGTCCAAGCAGGCCGTTGCTTACCGTCAAGTAATTACAATTATTTCGGTTTTTTTGCACAAATATTTAATGTTTGTATGATTTATTTCCATTCTCAGATGTCTCTGTTGCTGCGTCGTCCCCCAGGTCGTGAAGCTTATCCCGGTGATGTCTTCTACCTTCACTCCCGTCTGCTTGAACGTGCGGCTAAGATGTCCGACGCTCACGGTGGTGGCTCTCTCACTGCCCTCCCCGTCATTGAGACCCAGGCCGGTGACGTATCGGCGTACATTCCAACCAACGTCATTTCTATCACTGACGGACAAATCTTCTTGGAAACCGAGTTGTTCTACAAGGGTATTCGTCCCGCCATCAACGTCGGTCTTTCCGTATCTCGTGTCGGTTCCGCTGCGCAGACCAAGGCCATGAAGCAGGTCGCCGGTTCCATGAAGTTGGAGTTGGCGCAGTATCGTGAGGTTGCCGCTTTCGCCCAGTTCGGCTCTGACTTGGACGCCGCCACCCAGCAGCTGTTGAACCGTGGTGTACGTCTTACTGAACTCCTTAAACAGGGTCAGTACGTGCCGATGGCCATTGAAGAACAGGTTGCCATCATCTACTGTGGTGTCCGCGGTCACTTGGACAAGGTCGACCCCGCCAAGATCACCGCTTTCGAGAAGGAATTCTCCGCACACATCAAGTAAGAATTTGATTAATAAACTACATTTATAGTTTAATTATTTTTACTAATTCAATATATTTGTGTTTTAATAACTTAGGTCGAACTATCAATCACTGTTGAGCACCATTGCCAAGGAAGGTATGATCAGCGAGTCATCCGATGCGCAACTGAAGAAGGTCGTGACAGACTTTGTATCGACATTCGCCGCGTAAACGCGTTGATACCATATTTTAACTAATTTAGTTCATAGGGCTGAATACAATTGATTATCTAGTACACGTTCATCCTCCAATCATGGAAAATGCGATTTTGTTCTAAGCGATATGTCATGCAGGGCACTTAAACAGCAGTAACTATGTAAAGAAAAACTTGTAACTTGTCTATTGTGTTGATTTACTGTTAATGAAAGGAGTGGACAAGACAACATGAAGCAAAATGCGAAAATATAAACGAAAAGTCGAAAGAATAAATGTGAGTAAGGCCGAAATATCAGTTTTTATTTTATTTTGCTGAGAGCATGAAATCCAAATTACAAAAATGTAATGTGAGTTGTTTTATCTTTAGTTTTGAGCTTTCTGTTCCTTTCCTAAGCGTCCACTTGAATTGACTTCATGCATTATCTCAAATACCCAGGCAGTGAGAGGGCATAAACATGTGCATTTCTAAGAAAGCAAAGTTTGGTAATTTATGGCAACCCACTTGACGGACACAATCCATTCTTTAGAATTATTTTGGTCTGAAATGTTTACTGCTCGCTTTAGAATTCTTGAAGATTGTAGTGTGACAATTGTTTCTGAGCGGTTGTTTATTTTCCTGACGCATGCACTTCTCGGCGTGTTCTTGTCAGCATATTTTAAACCTCCCGGTTCGTTGTTTGTGTCATTTAGTTATCGCTTCCTTGAAAAATCACTCCTCTGATTGGTGCGTTGAACTGGTAGCGTATTCTGATTGGTCTCAGTCGCCGGCTGCGCGCAGAACGTTCGCGCGGTTCAAGTCAGCTCTTGTTTTTTGCGCGATTTCTACGCTGCTCTTTCGTGCTGCGATCGTTGTAAGCGCTGGACAGCGAAGGTCGTGCCACAAAGGTTTCAGCATCAACTTCTATATTTCGTGAACTTGGTAAGTAGAGATTGTTTCGGGAATATTACTTGTTTGTTAACAGTTTAATGAATAAGCAAGCGTTGCCTGTTATCGCATATCGTCAGTCTCTACAATATCAAACAGCTCTACATCAATCTTGTAGCGGTCACTTTCGTACCAGACCTGCAAGCGTAAACACGTGGTTTTCTAGCCGTGAAGTAACGATTTACTACCAATTTAGTTCAGAATTATTGCAATAACATCAATTGTTGCTGAGATCGTTAATTTTGTTTGTTTGTCTAATACGAATTTTGAGGTTTTGGTAATTGTTATTATTTCGGTAGCTCGACAATAAAAAAAGATCATGGACGAGGATTGGGGAGATGACAATACCACAACTCAGAATGTAAGTTGTATTTAATGGCCAATAATTATAAACTATACTCAAATTTATAAAATAGGGCTTTGGAGGCAGCAATTTCTCCAAGGGTAGAGGCTACACAATAGACAAGAATGATGCTGATGAAGACTGGGGGTCAAACAGCAATGGTAAGTTGTTGATTTCACTTTTCCTGTGTTTGTTATCATGTAGGTTTTTAATAACACATTAAAAAACAAAACACAACCTAAGCTTATCACATTGTTGTTGTTTGTTCAGGTTTTAATTCAAATAATGGTTTTGGCGGTGGTGGTGCACCTCGACGCGGTGGCCGTGGAGGTGGAAGAAGTTTTGGTCGTGGAGGACGTGGTGTTGGCCGGCGAAACTATGATGATGCCGACCAGAACGGTTTCGGTGGTCGAAGTGGCGGCGGCGGCGACGATTGGGGTGATAATAGAAGTAATGGCTTCGAAAATAATGACGATGATGGCGCCTTTAGGGGCGGTAGAGGTCGTGGACGCGGCCGTGGCTTTGGTGGAGACCGAGGTGACAGACGTGGTGGCCGTGGAGGTCGTGGCGGCGGTCGCGATGGTTTCGGAGGCGGAGATGGTTTTGGCGATGAATTCGCCGAAGGCGGTGGTGAAGGAGAAGAAAAGAAACCACCTCGTTCGACATATATTCCGGAAGAAGCAAACGATGCTGAATTACAGGACACTGGCATAACTAGCGGCATAAACTTTGATAAATATAAAGATATTCCTGTTAATGTAAGTAAATTATTTAGTTCAGTTAGTAATTTTATACTTTTAAATTTTGTGAATTATTTCAGACGTCCGGTGAGAACGTGCCACCTGCCATAATGTCATTCGATGAAGCCGGATTCCGTGAAGTTGTGCGGAAGAATGTCACAGTAGCTGGTTACACCAAATTAACACCAATCCAACAGTATTCTATTCCGATCATCATGGCCGGGCGAGATCTCATGGCGTGCGCCCAAACTGGTTCCGGCAAGACTGCCGCGTTCTTACTGCCCATTATTAATAGTCTTCTAGAGAACCAACGCGATCTCTTGGTGGAAGGCAACTGTATCACACCACATTGCGTCATCATCTCACCGACGCGCGAACTTACTACTCAGATCTATGATCAAGCTCGTAAATTTGCCCGCACGAGCATCATTAAAATCTGCCAGGTTTACGGCGGGACGCAGGTGTTCCATCAACGCAACAAATTAGTTGGCGGTTGTCACATTCTAGTTGCTACGCCCGGTCGTCTGCTCGCATTTGTGCGCGACGGATTGATCAATTTCTCAGCGACACGTTTTGTTGTCTTGGATGAGGCTGATCGAATGCTTGATATGGGTTTTCTGCCTGATGTCGAGACGGTGATGAGGCACCCGACAATGAACAGTGGCAACCGCCAAACTTTAATGTATTCGGCCACGTTCCCCGAAGAGGTGCAAACGTGCGCCGGTCAGTATCTCAACAATTATATCTTTGTCAGTATTGGTATCGTAGGAGGCGCGTGCGCTGACATCGAGCAGACTTTTATTCAAGTCGAGCGTTTTAAGAAACGCGAAGTGCTTCTAGAGTTGCTCAACGAGCACGGCACGAAAGGCACGGTGATTTTCGTCGATACAAAGCGCAATGCTGATTTTCTCGCTGTGAATTTGAGTGAGAATCAAATGCCGACAACAAGTATTCACGGTGATCGTCCACAACAAGAGCGCGAAGCAGCACTGCGCGACTTTCGCTCCGGTCGGAAGCACATCCTGGTAGCGACCGAGGTCGCAGCACGCGGTTTAGATATCAAGAACATTATCCACGTTATAAACTACGATATGCCAAAGGATATCAATCAGTACGTACACCGGATTGGTCGTACCGGGCGCGTGGGCAATCGCGGCAAAGCTACGACATTTTTCGAGTCCAGCGACGATTCGGCTATGGCAAAGCCGTTATCGCTTATTTTGAAAAGTGCAGGCCAGCCAGTTCCGGACTTTATTGCTGCCGCTGCTTCGGGTTATGGAGGCTATGGCGGTGGTGATGGTAATTCCGGCTTTGGTGGCACAGATATTCGCGACGGCTTGGGTGAAGCCACTCAACATGAAGAGGTGGAAGAGGTCTGGTAGATTATAGGCACCGAAACAATATTTGCGTTTCTCCGTTTGATTTTTAATACTTGTTCTTTATTCCTAAGGTCTCATGGGTTTTAACATGATGACATATATTTTCCAGTTAGCATTTAAAGTGTTTTAAACTCTAGACTTCTAGAGCGTTATATTTTTGACCAGTTTATTGTTTTAAGAATGTATTTTTGTTGTTTGCAAGACTGAAGGTGAAGTTGAACTTAAGTTGGTAAGATATGAGAGGTGGATTGTTGGAAAATTTGATGATTGTTAACCAAACGAAGATTGCATACGGTGTGTTTTTTAATATGAGAGAAGAGATATATTTTCAATAATATGATTCCGAAATTTGATATACCAAATTAGCAATGTTACAATTAAATTTTTTTATAATATCTGGTAGTTTCGTTCTTAGATAATTGCCTATTTATCTCGTGTCTATTTTATAGTCTAGAATTAATTAATCAAAAAGAAAATGGAGCATTTTTGCTCGAATTTCAAAAAAATTTAAAGCAGAACCTCAAAAATACAGGAAATTGCTCAAAAGTAAGTCGATTTCAATTTCTAGAATTGTACGACCTTGTTTTTGTTTACTTAATTGTTTATAACTTTTGTTATTATCATTTCCAGATATTGATTTTCGACTAAACAATTTCTTGATACAATTATAAACTAAATGACACCTCGATCATTTTTTTTCGGTGATTCTTAACTAGAAGAGTAAACGAGACTTTTGAAGCAGACTACGCGGTTTTAATAGGGGCCTGGTTCCAAATCCACAGATTAAAACCACAATTTATGAGCATAAAATGTAAATATTATACATTGTAATGTAATCGGTCATAGTATAACATTTTTAATTCTTTTTAAGTACTCAGAACACTTGAAATATCACTTATCATACTAGAGGTAATTGATTTGGCAAGTGATAAGAAGGCACAACGCGCTACGAGTAAAACAATCAGCACATGTTTATAATTCTCATTGGAGACAGAACACCTGCAAACGATTAGAATCAATCGTTGATTCATTATTATCGTTCGATTAGTCTGTCAGACACCTGTGCCACCTGCTTATCCAAATATTTTAAAAGTTGCAGGAGCACACATTGTGTTCACTCGACTGCGAAATGCTGTGTGCGAACACATCCAGCCGACAATTCATTTGATACTCATTTCTTCACCATGTGTAAGTCTCAACGAGGAGTGGAATACACAAATTTTACATAATTTGCTTGTTTTAAATACAGATTTAGTAAAAGTTACCATTTTGCTTGCCATGTGTTTCATGGGAGCTTATGGTGGTAGTTGTGCCATGTATGGGTTGTGTCGGCCTAAGGAGGGTCTCAATTGTAATGACGATTCAGGTCCATTTCCGCTACAAGCTGAGGAAGGTGCCAAACAGGAAGCGCTGCGAAAGTTTCGCGCCATGTGTCCGGTGCTCAACGAAGAACTGAACAACGCCGAAGACCCGGCTCTGTGCTGCGACTATGACCAAATGCAAAATTTCATCAGGCTGGCGGCCATGTCGGATGTATTCTCACGTTGTCCCACGTGCCTGCGTAATTTACTGCAACACATCTGCCAGTATGCGTGCGGACCTGAGCAGGGTCGGTTTGTTAAAACCAAGAGTGTTATAATGGATGGTGTGGAAGTGGTAGAGTCCATTATCGTAAGCCTTTCGTACGAGTACATGAACGATACGTTCGAATCCTGCAAACATGTTGCTTTACCCTCCAGCGGTGGATTGGTACTGGAGGCGTCCTGCGGCGTGCATGGAGCTGCAAATTGCAATCCAGAAAGAATGTTTAAGTTCATGGGCGAGGAGAGCGGGTTTGGACCATTCCCTATTTACTTCCACGACAGCAGGGCTCGAGATTTTAATCCAGAACAAGCATTAATGTTGACGGCCAAGACCTGTGACGATAAGTATGCTGGAGATGAGTTTCCCTGTGGATGCATCGATTGCGTTGAGAGCTGTTCGTTGGATTCATACGAAGCTGAAGAAGCTGGTTTTGAAGTGGGCGGTTTCAATGGGTGGTCTTTTATCGCTGGAGTTACTTTACTTGGATGTGTTGTATTGGGCCTTTGTATTACCTTTGTCATTTCAAGACAAATAGAAAGTAGAAACGCTGGAAAATTGGCTAGGATGGATAGTATCAGCAATGTAAGCGCAGCCGACGTCGAAGATGTTGGAAAAGTCAACAAAATGCACAAACTTTGGGAAGCAATGTTTAGAATATTAGCTGAGAGTACGTTTTCATTCTTTTTTAAACACTCATATTCTAAACAAACTTTTTAAACGATTTTCAGCAATTGCAAGGAACAGTTGGCTGACAATCTGTTTATCATCTTGGATAGTAGTCGCGCTGTGTTACGGAGCGTTGAGTTTGAACGTTACCACCAATCCAGTGGAAATTTGGGCGTCTGCCGACAGTCGTAGTCGAATTGAGAAAGACTTCTTCGATGAGCACTTTGGGCCGTTCTATCGCACCAATCAGATTTTTATCAAACCCGTTGGAGTCTCTTCCGTAAGTAACATTTTACCCAAATTCTAACAATAACAATTCTAATTGATCAAATTTTACTTATTTAGTTTAACTACTCGTACCACAACGTGTCACTAGTGGTCGAAGTAGGACCAGCGTTTGATAAAGACTTTTTGCTGGAAGTTTTTGAGCTACAGAAGATCATTGAAGATATTCAGTTAGATGATGGTACCACGCTAGCAAGTATCTGTTATTCTCCAATGTCGAGTGCATTTACTCCACCGGTAGATATCAACGCATGCACGGTGCAATCAATTCTTGGATTGTTTGAAAACGATCTGGAGAAGTTTAAAGATAATGAAAGATATGTCGAAAAAATGTTGAAATGTGCAACGTAAGAATTTATTTTCAACTGTAGAAGTTTATAATATAACTAATTTGGTGTTAATCCTACAGGAGTCCATATAGTCCGGACTGTCTTGCACCTTATGGAGGACCAATTGAACCAGGCTTGGCTTATGGTGGAATGGAATCTGCCAGCTATGTAGATGCGCGTGCTGTTGGACTTACTTTTCTCGTGAATAACAAATTGGATGCTAAAGAATTGGAACCTGCGCTAAATTGGGAAGAAAAGTAAGCAAAAACGCATGTCAAAATACCCAAAATGTGACTGTGATTATTAATGAATATTTTTATTTCAGATTTATTGAAGTCTTGAAGGATTGGGAAGCAAACCAGCCATCAGACAGTCTCTTAGATATTGCTTTCAGCGCAGAGCGCTCCGTTGAAGACGAAGTCGCGCGTGTGTCCGAGTCGGAAATGTCCACGATCATTATCAGTTATTTAGTTATGTTTGCATACATTGCGATTACTCTCGGACACATCAACTCGTTTCGTACAATCCTGCTTGATTCAAAGTTGGTGCTTGGCATTGGAGGTATAGTTATCGTATTGTGTTCGGTGGGTTGTTCTCTTGGTGTTTCCGGATACGCGGGTATTACCACAACGTTACTCACCGTCGAAGTGATTCCGTTCCTTGTACTTGCGGTTGGGGTGGACAATATATTTATCATTGTTCAGACGCATCATCGTTTATCTAATCTCAAGTAAGTAATTTATTGGGTTTTACACACATTTATTCATAGATATTATTGTTTACATCTAGAGAGAATCAAGATTTGGATGTGGCCACACAAATTGGAAAAACAATGGCGACTGTTGGTCCAAGTATGTTATTAACCAGCGTGTCTGAGATGATTTGTTTCGCAATTGGAACTCTGTCGGACATGCCAGCGGTGCATACATTTGCATTTTTTGCAACCATTGCGCTGTTGTTTGACTTTTTACTGCAGATTACTGCGTTTATAGCTTTGTTAGCAATTGACGAACGGCGTTACAAGGTAAACCTTTTGCAAATTGTTTGCCTATAAAAACTATAATTATCTGCATGTTTAGGAAAACCGATGGGATTTTTGTTTCTGCGTAAAACAAGAACGCTCCGATGGGCTGACATTCAGTGAAGGATGGTTTTTTAAAGCGTGGAAAAAATACTACACACCTTTCATAATGTCCAAACCAATGCGGTATATAATTGTGGTCATATTTGCTGCCTGGTTTGGATTCAGCATTGTGGTCGTCCCTTCAATTAATGCCGGATTAGATCAAGAACTTTCAATGCCAGAAGACAGCCATGTATTAAAATATTTCAACGTAAGCCATAATATTTGTTTATAATTAGAAGTATAACTTCTAATTCTAATGTTTTTGACAGTACATGAAAGAATTAATGGGTATAGGCCCACCTGTGTATTGGGTAACAAAAGGCAATATTGACTATTCCAACGAAGAAATACAAAATATTTACTGCGGGGCTGCTGGCTGTTCGTCATCTTCTGTAACAACGCAACTCTTTTCCGTGTCACAGCAAACAGAGTTGACTTACATTGCTCGCCAGGCGTCTTCATGGATGGATGATTTTGTCGACTGGAGCAATGCGGAAGAATGTTGCCGAATGTTTCCTGGTAATGCCTCCTTCTGCCCGCATCAAACGCCCGGCTGTGATCAGTGCACGTTCCGAAAAGAAAGCGACAATCGGCTTGACTATTTCTATAAACATTTACCATATTTCTTGAATGACAATCCTGACACAAATTGTGGCAAAGGTGGCCATCCAGCGTATGGCGATGTAAGCATCCTAATACGATTGCTAATGCTTAATTTATATTCTGACTTTGATTTTGCAGGCGCTAAATGTGCACGTGAACGAAACCGGCCATGTTACAATTGAAGCCTCGTATCTCATGTCATACCACAGTGTCTTAAAAGGATCTAAGGATTATTACGAAGCGTTGAAATTTGCTAGAAAGATTGCTGATAATTTAACCGAAACAATCAACATGGAGGGCGTTGAGATATTTCCTTACAGGTAAAAATAAATAGCATTGTAATATAATTTTATACTAAACATATATTTTGCTTTTTTAGTATTTTCTATGTATTCTTCGAGCAGTATCTGACTATTTGGTACGACATGTTAACATCCCTTGCATATTCTCTTCTTGTTGTGCTCGTGGTGCCTTTTATAGTGAGCGGTTTCAACCTTTTTGCTGCATGTACAATTCTTGTTGTTATTGCTATGATAACAGTAAACCTGGCAGGAATGATGTACATCTGGGATATTACTCTTAACGCAGTTTCTCTGGTCAACTTAGTCATGGTAAATTATATTGCTATTATTGTTATTTTTCAATTAAATATTAATAAAACATTTAATTTACAGAGTGTGGGTATATCTGTTGAATTCACCGGCCATATTGTTCACGCGTTTGAAGTGAGTAAAAAGCATACGCCGTTGGATCGTGCTACTGATGCCTTGGGTTTAATGGGTGCTTCAGTGTTTTCTGGTATTACACTGACGAAATTCCTTGGGATTATTGTATTGTCGCAAGCACAATCGCAAATCTTTAAAATTTTCTACTTCCGGATGTACCTAGGCATCGTTATAATAGGAGCTTTACATGGTTTAGTATTTCTGCCCGTTTTCTTATCGTTTTTAGGATATATTAAATATAGATGAAACTATTTAAACTATTAAAATTTAATATGTTAATATTTCTATTTATAGTATTTTGTATTGTTTTGCTATTTGTTAAGTATTTATGAATTTTGCGTGTATATTTGTTAAATAAATATGTAAAATGAAAAAAGTGTGTTATAGGTACCACTGGTTTATAATTTAATGTTTTAAATGTTTATATGAATGCTATTTAAAGATTAAAACCCAATTTATTCGTTATTTTGGAAACTTGATGAACTTTAAAACTAATATAAACTCTACGATTTTTATTTTAAGCCACATCTAAAGAGTTTGTTCTGTAAAATAAGTTTACAATGTGTGAGTTTGTGGCTTGTGCTATAGCTCGAGGGCAATCCGGAGCAAGTTATATTATTATACGGTGAGTGTTGCGTAATTTGCTCCAACAATTCGAGTGAATTTCATTTTTGCGGCCACGACGTGCCCCAGCGTCGCACCTCGATCGCGACGCGCTCGCGCGGTAACATGTCTCTGATTGGCTGTGAATGCGCCACGTGACCACCCGTCAAGCATATTTCTGTATACAGTCAGGCGCTGTACGACGTTGTCGTGCACGAGAAATCGAGGCAGAAAAATTTCTTTTTCGGGTGCATTTTGGCCATGTGTATCACGTTCGCGCGGTGCTCCAGTACCAGTACCATATGGACTGAAGTCGAGTGTGGTGCGATAATGTCTCGGCGAGTGTTACACATACGAACATTACTGTAATAAGACACGCATTCCTAACGTCTGCAAATCGCATACATATTGCGCTCTCGTACGTGCGCGCATTGTCTCGTACCAACCGGTCCAACATTTGTATATCACCACGTGGAGAGTGCAAACTTGCATAAAATTGCACTATGGCTTCGAGACGATCGCGTATCAAAGGCATCGCAAATATTCCGCAGCGGAGGAAACCCGTCGTCGAACAGGAAGCTACGCAGGAAGATGTGAGGTGCGAGGAATCTAACCTCTCACCACAGCAGGTGATCACAAATTCAACCGGAGAATCACAGAAAGAAGAAAAACATGCTGACGGCGTTGATTTGAACACAGCTGTTCCCGTGGAAAATAATAAAGATAAGCCATGTGAAACAGATATTCCAACTCATTCAAATCATGATATTAGTAAAAATGTAGCAGAAAATGTAAATCCAAACATATCTGTAGCAGCACCTCAAACACAGCCTTCATTCAACCGACGTAGACTTATAAAACCAGCAATATCATTAAAAGCAATACAGAAATCAGTAACTCCACCTAGCATATCTTCACCAAGTGAGGAACCAGAAATAACAAAACCTCAAGAAGAGCCTTCACCACCTGAAGATGCAAATTGTCCTTCTGTGATATCTAAAACATCTGAAAATCCACCAATAAACACATCAAAACATGCTCACACTCCAGTCAGAGATGATTGTATCAACAAGGAGATCAGTGTGCTTGGTAAGCAAAACCTAAAATTAAATTTATTTACTTTCAACAAATGTTACAAAGTAACAACTTGATTAGCAGTGCAACTTTGATAACTTTTGACCTTTATTGCTTTATTTTTAAGGTATCACCAAATTGCCACTCACTCAAAGTCAAAATCAGAATTTGGAGAACTGCACAGATAAGAACTCTTTTGATGAGATTGTTCGGCCGTCTCCAGCATGCAGCCCTAGCAAATATATGAATCGTGCCAGGATTAAGGCTATTCCACGCCTGGGCCAACGTCGACCGAGTTTCAGCATCGGCAGCGCGAGCGAATCGGAAGACGAGTCGAAGAAGTCGTATAAAACAGTACGAATACGAAATGATTCTGTCTGCTCGTCTGTTTCTACACCAGCACCTCCAGAATCACCAGCAGTTGTTGCTGAAGTGAGTAATCCTAGGAAGAAGCCAGAGTTCAACAGCGTTATCCAACGAAAATGCCGACGGACTGAGCAGAGTCGTAAACTGGCTGAGGCAAGACGAGATTTTCAACAAAAGTTTAACAACGGGAAGCCGGATAGGCAGAAATTGACCATGATAGATCTCATATTTTACAATCCTGGAAGCTCCCCGATGAGGTAAATGTTTTTATTATGTTATTTACATTTTGAATAATATTCTGCTTTTTTTAAAGCCAAAAACGTAAACGAAAGGATACCGAGACTGAATCGATACTAAGCGCCAAACATGAAGAAGACATTGACGATGCACCTGCACCAGACGAACCTTCTGCGGATGCGACCGCCGAGCCAGAACTCAGCGACGAAGAAAACACAGTTCCTGCGCCCCAAATAACAATCGGCGCCAACGGCGAAATCATCATCGACGAAAAATCGCTCTTCATTGAGAACAAAGATATCAAACGCGATCGCGAGTTGCTAAAAAAGTCGAACCTGGTCGATGGCGACAAGTTTGAAACTGGGTACGGCGTATTCAAACGCGTGAAACGCTCCAAGGACTGGAGTAAAGATGAAACTCTACGATTTTACAAAGCGCTGAATACAATGGGAACTGATTTTACACTGATGTGTGAGTTGTTTCCAGGTCGTAGCCGACGAGAGTTGAAGATGAAATTTAAAAAAGAAGAGCGTGTTAATCGAGCCTTGATTGATCGCGCTGTGATGCAACCGATTCAGTTCGATATCACTGATTTACAACGTGATCTTGAAAAGCAGGAGTTGGAAAAGCTGCGGAACGAGCAAATAAAAAAGGACCTGAAGCAATACAGGGAAGATTGCAAGGCGGCAAGAGAGGAGAAGAAGGAAAAGGAAAAAGCTAAGGCGGAAGAAGTGCCTGCAGTTAAAAAGAAAAGAAAAACGTGGACGGGAGATGTAAAGGTCGTTGAAGATCAAATAATTAAACCAGCAAATGCCAAGGAAGCCTTAAAGAAAAAGCTGCAACAAGGGATACACAGCTTGCTCGCATCAGATGACAGTGACGATGAAAATGCGAATGTTGTTGAAGATTCAGTAAATGCAAAAGAAGCGGAAATCAATGAAAACAACAATCATATTGATTTGAGCGACGCGATTGAACAAAACATTGAGATTACCAGTAATATTGATGTAACAAGCCCTGAAATGCCAGCTGATACAAATTCTGAAGCAATTGAAATGCCTGAAGTAGAGAAAAGCAGCGGAATTGAAGAAACGAACGAAACTGAAGTCATTGAGGAAGGTTCGATTGTAGTTACATCATTAGATGCTGATGGTAAAGAAATCTACACAGCTTACTCTGTCAACTGTCATGGTGAAAAAATCCCCTTGGATTTAAATCCGGGAGTTCTCGATGTGTTGCTTAAGAATCAAAAAAGTGATAAAACAGTACCTCTACCCGAGAACGCAGACGAATCTTTAATTTTGCCTTCTGATAACACCATAGACAACATAATGGCCGATATATCCTTGTCCAATCTTCACGACAATCCAGACATGTCTCTGACGACCACCGCGGACTGCATGATTCTTTCGTTCGAGGATATCGATGCTAATATTGCCACTAACTCAACCGCGAACATTGTCGCTATTCAAACCGGGCCATAACTTTGATAACGATGCATTTCTTTTTTGTACGAACTCTTCAATGCTGATAAACGTGTAAAGGTGATGACACGAATCGTGTGAGTACACACTAAATAATTTATTTTACTACTAAGCTATTTCCTACTTATAGCTAGCTATACTTGATTTTAGTACACCGACGAATGTCACTTGGAACATTACTGACGAATGTTCATAAAGCGCTGTTTAGTTGTTTGTTAAAATGCCGCGTTTGGAAGTGTCGTGCGTGTATTGAGAATTTGTATTTCTTTTATTATTATGCTTTCTACTGTGAATGAGTGAGTTTATTTACTATTTCCTTTTTTGTTGAAGAATGTTACGATGTTGGAGAATTAAAAAAATATTAAAGAAAAAAAGTGGGAAATATTTTATAACTTGCAAGGATGTATTTATAAAATAACTTTACCTGTCTCCATATTCCCAAAATAATTAAAATGGCGGTCATGTTTCTTATTATTTATGTTGTGTGTATGATTTTCATCACATATAGCTCATCGGCAGTCACTTTAATAGTTAGATTCTGAAATTTATAATGCAATTTCAGATCGTTTTTCTTGAGAAGCTCCAGCTCTTCGGGAGGCACGCCAAACACCAGAAATATGCCGTTGCCGAGCTGCGTCTTGTGCAGTAAGTGCCATGAGTCTACGGCGAAAGCTATGTTCTGCGCGGCTAACAGTGATAAAATTTGACTTTGGTTTGTAATATTCTCCCGGCGAATGAATAAGGTAACTTTCGTGAGCTTGCAATCCAATTCCTTAGATAATTCACTGGTAAGTTGAGCGCTTGGATCATTAAAGTCAAGAACAAGAACGTTGAGATTGTTGATATCCGACGTGGGTAAAATTGGTTCTGCTTGTTGCTGCTTGGATCTGCCAGACTCTTTCTTGATGTTGGATGGATTGACTACTTCTATGGCATTGACTACATCAGCAGGTACTTTCAATTTGTTCTTACAACCATTCACTGCATCTGAAGAAGCAGTATCCCAGGGTAATGGGTATGCATTTCTGCTGAGGCGGTGTCCTACGAAAGCTTTATGTGAAAAATGCCGACTGCATATCCTTGTCAATTTTGAATAAGGCTTTTCTGTGTCAAACAGTATCCTTGACCATTCAGCTCTTCTGATAATAAAAATATATGGAAACTATAATAAAAGTGTGATCAAAATACTTATTTTCAATTACCTGAGAGGGCTTTTGGGAAAACTGTGAATATAAATGCGATTTTCCAGATCACAACCATGACCACAAACAATACAATACATTGTAACAGTGTTAGAGCGCACGTGGTTCCAGATAGGTTCAAAAGATGACTAAGGTAGTTTCTCTGGAGTAACTTTAAAAAATCAACAGCGCCCTGGGATGGCGGGGTAAAGTCTCATGCACCACCGCCATCTAAAGTATTAGCATTGAAAAGCTTCATCTTACGTCACTGTCTGCAAGTAGCAACACTGTACAATTCTATTTGGATAAATGTATGCAGTATATTTTACTGGCAACCATGTCTTTTTTATAAAATACGAAAAGTATAATAGGTTTTATTTTATGTATTAATGGAAGTTCGTGAATAAGTATATAGGTAAATGTAGAAGCATTCTTATGGAACTCAAGGCTAAAGAAGAAGAAAGGAAACTAGAACTCTGCGACTGGACCGCTGGGCTACTCAGGAATGATTGCGCACTTTACTCGCTAAGGGCTGCGCTTTTATACTCGCGGTCGACCCGTAAAAAGTGGTGGGGGTAGCCTGTGGATACCTACGCGAGTATCCAAGTACTTGAACTGTGATCAAGTAATCAAACAAGTTGCATATACGAATATAAAACTTACCAAAATAAATCTTGCGAGTTACGAAGATGTGAACACCCACAAATAATTAAAATTAAAGTTTAAATATGTATCATGGCATGCATACCATCTGCAAATATATATGGTATGTATTACCCACAGATTTTATACTAGCACTGGTACGTACAATCTAGACAGTGGTGGGAATGGAAAAGGTGAGCCAAACACGTCGTATACACGACATTCTTGAGGTGCGCGCGCTCCAAAGGAAAAGTCAGCGCGCAGGTGAGTCTTGTGTTCAGGTAAGCGGCCGCATTTAGTTTGCGCTCGACGTGCGCACGTAGCGGCCATCTTATGATGTCTTAAGTTCAACTCACAATTTAAGCGACATACTCACATATTATTGTTAACAGACTTAACTTGAGTGACGTTTAATTACATAATAAACTAAATACATTTCCGCGATGGGTTCGAAAATAGAATATGTCGATTCGACGCAAATTTACGCGACCAGTTACGTGCGGAACTCTAAGGCGATCGGCGTGTTGTGGGCGATCTTCACCATTTGCTATGCGATCATCGGCGTTGTGGCGTTCGTTACTCCTGAATGGCTGGGAAACGTCGAGGGTGACAAGCCGGGTAAATTCGGCTTGTGGGCTGAATGCTACGCTGAAGAGAACGGCGAGCAATGCCGAGGGCGGTTGGATGAATTCTACGATAATGGGAATTACGCCTTTCAAGGTGCTACCGTCGCTGTCGGCGCAGCTTGTGTCACGGCTTTGATGACAGTTGGTGCTATGCTTTTCTTCTTCTTCTGTCACTCCACCAGCGTGTATCATGTTTGTGCATGGCTACAATTAATATCAGGTAAAAACAATACAATATTTATATAATAATTAATATTACTGGTTTTATTAGTTTATTATAAATTTTATTGATAAATTTTCATCAATAATATTGTGTTAATTACGTGATGTATCATTTTTCATTAAGACTCGTCTTAGCATACTTTTATTTGCTGATTACTCATAAATTTCTCCAATTTCTCATTCTATAATCCACAACATCTGTAGAAATAATTACAAGAGATCTATTACTGTTGTTAGCATCGTACTACAGCTTTCTGTAGGTAATAATTTAATACCAGCATATTTTCCTGCATGAAAACAGATATACATATTTGTTTGTTTTGCTTCTGCCAATGTTGTTTGCGGTTAGTTCCGAAAGTATAATTGTATTGACCTTGTTCTTGTTCTGGTTCGCTTATGATTTGGTTGGTAAATTTATTAAAAATTCCCTGCAAACCAATGTGAGGCAGTTGTTGGATTCTTCATTCATTCTTTCTTTCTTTCAATTGTTTCATTCGTTATTTGAACATAATTGAGCAATGGTAGAGTAGAAATTAAGTCAGATTTAGTGAATTGTTGAAATAGGAATACAATGAAGAAACCAAGATGAAAGAAAGCACTGAATATATGAATATAAATTTATATACACATTAACGCGTATTAAGATATTTCATTTTTTAAATTTTGATTAAGTATAAGATATAAGCATGTTTAAATATATGGGTATGTGCAAACAGCCTAATAATACTTATTTATCCATACACCACATGCAAAATGTGTGGAAATATCATAATTTTGATGACACAATCAATTGAAAGCCTCCATTGTTTTGTTGGTGCGTGTTTCTTCATTATAATAGCATTAACATATTTTGGTGCTATTATTAGTAGCCGTTTATTTGGTAGTACCTACATAATTTTCTAATTCAGTTGGGCAAATTATAACTTACATTAGATAATATATACTTTGTATAATATTAACCACTTAGGCAACTCAAAATACACACGAACTTATGTAGGCTTCAAATCATAACCTAAACACATACTTTTTATTATAATTACCAACGCGTTAATTCTTTGATTTATTTCTGTTGATATCCGTACAGTTTGACACACAATAAAAACAAAGGAATTAACAAAATGCAGAAAAACGCAATTACGTCTTATCCCAATAATCAACTATTTCTTACAAGTGTGCCACTCCACTCAAACGTGTTGATGCAGCACGAACAAAAAGAATTGTTAGTTGTTTAATCCCAAGAAGCCCAAGAACAAAACTCTGTGTCTAAGTTTCCTCCTCGCACCAATAATGCCCGGTTGCAAGCACGTAACTTTAACAACAATATAAGAAAAAGGAAGAAATAAAAACGTAATGATCAACACAAAACCACATGCGAGCGTACATCCATCATGTGCACTGAGAATGATTTGTTTCTTGTTGTTAAAATAAGCAAAAAAACGACTTAAGTAAAGTTGCAAACGGTAGATAAGAAATATCAGATGTGAAAAACATTAATTTTTTAGTGTGAGATAATAATTTATGTACTTCAATGCATTCTTAAAAAAATATTTAAAAAACTGGGGAATCTAAGTATTTTTGTGTTAATTTTACACCAAAGTTAATATTTTGTTAAAATTTGAACTTTGAGTTTATTAAACTATTTCCTTATTTAATTTATGCAAGCAAAAAAAAAACACTACTTATTAACTTTGTAACTTCAACAATTAATATAATGTTGAATGAAGTTTAGTTTTTAATTACCAACGTAATGACTAGACACAAGATATATTGAGAGAAAAAAAACTCCATTGCAACGGGTCATAATTAAGTGGTACAACGTAAAACGCATATTGTTGTTGCACATGAACAATATGTACCTACGTACACAATGGATACAATTGTGATTTTTATTAATATTATTCATGCTTGTTTTTTCTGCTTTTCTGCGCCTTTCTTGTTTTCCTAGTTGGATATATTTTGCATTTTAAATTGATTTATTTAATACAAACATTAATCAAATAATAGAGAGTCGCAATTAGTATGAGGTAAATAATTAATCATGCTTAAGTGTTGTGTGCGAAAAGTTTGTTGTCTGATAGGCGGTAATTGTTAGTGTATTTTGTGGTTTATTAAATTTCTATTGTTTCATGACGAATTGTTGTGCAATTGCGATGATATAAGCGTTTAATCATTTAGACATTCTTTTTTATGCAAAAAAAGAAAAAAAAAACATTGAAGTGGAACTCAATGGACATATTTTCATCCAATACTTTTATTTACACTATATTTGAACAATAATTCAAAGAATTGTCCTTATTATTCTTATTAATATGCAAAAATGTTGATATTTACATTTACTTAACTGGATATATAACACTTAACGACGATTTGACTTAAATGATTTAATTTTACTGTTGCTTTTCACAGTTAACTGCATAACTAAATAGATTTTCTTGCAAATTCCTTACATTCGCTATTAAATGTTATATTCTAAATATTTGCTGTGTAAATGTCAAGGCTCATTATGATCTAAAGAATTGTTAAAATGCAATCTTTAAAAATACGTCCTATTACAGCAAGTGTTTATGTTGATACCGTTAGAAACGAGAAAAATCTCCCGACATGTGTTTCTGTAAAACATTGAAACAAAGAACCAGTGAAACGCATTCCCTTAATTGAAAAGCCAACTGTCGTTTGCTTTTAATGTTTACGACTTGACGCAAAGAACGATCAATAAAGTTAGTTCAACATCTCATCTCACCAAATATGCGAGAAGAAACTGGTGGAACAAGTGCATGCGGAATCAATCGAACTATTAAAACAGTAGATAGGAGTTAAAAGCATAAAATAGATTTTTTTCATAAGAATAATTAGAAGAATACGTTTTTGGTTATAAATTTGTGTAATATTGGTTGCCTACTTTTTCTTGAGCCTAGAAGCTTTATTTTTTAAAGAATAATTTTTTACACTATTTTGTTCATCCTATATAGTAATTATTTCATTAATTGCAAGTCGATCACATGCCGTTTTAAACGCTTAAAACGCTCCTCGGCTAAAATTCAATAAAACCAGCACCTGTTTTCATCAAGCGACTAAACTAAACATTTCCTTCATGTGGTAATGCAATGCAATGTATGTAACTGTTAATCTTGCTCGCTTTATTCAAGCGGAATTTGTGACGTGCTGTTTAGCACCATTCGGATAATCGCAGAAACATGGCGTTGCATGCAACCTGAATGTTCAGGCTGAATTCATTTCTTGTAGGACTTGTTAGTGAGTGATAAAACGCAAAATAAACACGCGCGATGTAAGCACGTAAAAAATTCTTTCACATTCCCATTCACACCCAAGATGCAAATCTTCTTTCGATACTATAACAATGGCGTCGCAGATGGCATTTGGTAAATGTCATTGTATAGTTCGTTTCGGTTGGGTGAAACGTTTAAGGACAATTAAGAGAAGAATCTTTTTAGTTCGGATTATGTAACATTCCGACAAGCTGTATTTAAGGCGTGTGTAATTTTAGACGAATTGTTGCTTACAAATAGAACATGGCGCAGAAATGAATAACAAACGTTTATAACTTGTTTCGGTGATTACTTTTTTCATGAGTTGGTTTACTTTTTACTGTTAGTTCAAGTGTTGTATTCATAAAATACAAATACAAGTAAAATCAGTTATTTTTAGTGGATTATATTATTACTTGCATTTTAAAATTTTATTTTTAGGTTAATTCTTAGTCATAAATGTAGATATTATGTTTGGTTATGTTTGCAGTGATAAAAATGTTTTGTAAAAACATGCATTTTTTATCTCCTGTTTATAAAAAAAACTGAAATAAACCAAAATAATTGTTGTAATTCATGAAATTTTAAGAATTAGTCGTATTTTTCCACTTGAAGACACATCTAGTCAACCGTTCAACTCAGTGGCGGATTACGGCCTAGGCGCACTAGGCGCGCGCCTAGGGCCCCGGCTGCCGGGGGGGCCCCGGTTGCCTGAGGGGCCCCTGGCACTTAGGTATATGTCCCATATAGACATAGTAATTCCACAAATACTTCATCAGTTGGTTTTGACCTCAGCCTTTATGAATAGCGTATTGGTTTTCACTTGGCGCCCAAAACGGCATTTCACACGTGTCCGCAAAGCAACCGTCACGGTTATATAGCTGACTTAAAACTTTTTATCTCCGATTTTATTTCTTTATGACAAACTGTTTAAAATAAAATTTTGATGTTTTCTGCCACGAATTTTTGTGACTTTTTCTTGAA